GTGTCTTCCTCAGGCTGCCTCGAGCTCACAGTTCCCTCTTCAACACATCCCAGCAGTACAAGGGCAATTCAAAGCACTGACAGATCACAATAATCCAACGTGTCTGGCACGTAGATCCATCCTGCTAATTTTTGCTGCCCAACCATAATGATGGAACAGCCCGAAGGGGATTTCTTCAGGCTGCAATCTCCGTCGAGCCAGCGCCACTCACTTAGTCCGGATAGCTGTGCTCCGCTGAGTGGCTGAATTTGTCTCCTTCTGGCTGCATGTTTATTCTCGGTAATCCCAGGTTTTCAAATGCTCCTGTCCTGAAGGCTTCTGCTATAAACCCACTCACTTGCGGGAAGCCTAGAAAACCAGTCGCCCTCTGCACCTCAGAGCAGGGCTGGAGAGGCAGCCTGTAAGGGGCACGTGGCCACCACCAATGAATGGAAACAGTAAATTAATTTAGCACAGCTTGTACCTAGCCAAAAGGTGGTGGAAATGAACCTATGCTAAAGCAGGACTGTGGAACTGGTTGGGAAGTACCATTTTGCACAAGAGTACCAGACCGCAGGCTCTGCTTTCATAAGTCCATAGGCACAAGATAAAAGCGAAGCTCCAGCAGCCTCTGCAACTCACTAACAACTCACTGCAACTTGTGCTCTGCGAAAGGAGACCCACTTCTGCACTCCCATGGTTGGCAAGATACCGAGCAGGACACACATCACGTGAAGCATCCTGATGATTGACAAAGATTCCTGCAAGTGTTTTCCTCAGATTAGCCTTTTGGTATCATCAAGGATGCAGATCACAGAATTGTAGAATCATTATAGTTGGAGCAGACCTTCAAGATCATGAAGTCCAACTGTAGCTGGACTGATATGAAATGATACCAGGTCTACCACATTTAGCACTAGAGCAGAGCTTTACCCTAATGTACAATATCTCTTATACGTCTGTATTTATTTAATAAGTTCAGGGCCAAAGTTACTTCCTAAGGAAAATGGAATTTCAGCAGAACTGCCTAAGGAGAAACATAAATCACTGTCAGCAAGAGCACAGAGCTCTGATGTACTGAGTCCTACAGTAACAAGTAGCACTGACCCAGAAGAGGCCAGGTCTTGATTCAGTCCTGTCCCTGTTTCCTTTGGCTATGGAATTTGCTGGCTTGGGGCGTCTTCTCCTGAAGTGCAGCCCCCTGCAGTTCCCATGCGAGACATGAAATGCAGAGCCACGCGTTCAGGCCAGCAACAGAAGAAAAAGACTTCAATTTAGGCTTCTCATAAGTATCTGTTCCTTACAGCAGTAATTAAAGTGACATTTTCCTGCCATCTGTGGAATCTCTGAGGATGCAGTCTATGATCTGTCAACAGTTCTAGTTCCAGGGATGGAGGAAAAACACAACAAAAAGACTGCCTGCTACTCTGAACAGAAACCAAAGGAATCAAAAGTGCCAAGCCTTGCAAAAAAAAAAGTTGCTGTTTTGCTTTACAAATTCTTGTCACATGAATAATTTTGAAGGGAAATAATATTTTCTAAAATTAGTTCTTTTGAAGGAAGAACACATTTCACGCAAACTTTTCATGTAGGAAATATGATCCACTATTATTTAGAATAGTAAAAAATCCATTTTATAAAAAAGAATTCCTAGATGAGAGGGTTTTTTTTTGTCTGAAATGTACTTTTTTATTTGCTAGAATTGGAAGTTATTTTCTCTTCCATATATCCCCTTTCTTGACTCTCTTTTAATACAGTGGCTGATTTTTGTGGAGCTCATCAGGTGGAAATTATTAATATCTGTCAGGTTTTAACCCCTTATCAAAACTAGGCACTATCACAAGCATCTATGCAACAATGAATTTAGAGACAACAATTTAAATAAAACACAACATAATATATAGCAAAATACAAAGACTGTAGTTTTGACATACCACAAATGTTTGTCTTTTAGGAGTAAAATAAATGTATTTATTTTAGGTAGGAGATGTAAACATAATGATGAAAACCATGGATTTGAAATTGGCCTAAAATACAGATTGATTATGTGTTTGTTTTGTAAGCATATCCTAGGAGAAGAAAAGCATCTTTTGAAAGCATATCTATTGTGTACTGAATAATTTAAGACTTGGGAATGAGATAAAATGAACTCCAGTAGCAAATCACTTTGAAAATCCGGCCCCTAGAAGTATTACCTGAATATACATGTTCATCGTGTTGGACAAAGTGGCAGTGTGGCTTATGCTACTCTGGAGTTTTGGCTATAGACCACAAGATCCTATTGCTTAAAAGTATACAACAGCAAAAAAAAAAAAAAACCCACTCCAAAAATATTTCGTAATTTAAGCATGTGATGTACATTATAGAGATGCACGCAGATAAACGGAGGACAATCAAGAAGCAGCAAGGTGGTATGGATCATCTCAGCACATTAATTGAAGGAAGGAAGAGGAAGGAAGTTCTAAAAGCAGATGCAAAGTCCTTAATATCGATAAGCTGAGATCAAAACAGCAGCACAGATAGGGATATCTGATCTGTAACGTTGTAAGAAGGAAGTTGGCCACGAAGTGATCACAGAGATATTCAGGACAACAGGTTTTATAAGCAGGTAAGAAGAGCAAAATGTGCAGGCAAGGGCTAAGAAGGACAGGCACGTGGGAGCTCCAGGCATGGCAGGGCAATGCTGGAGATGAGCAGAAAGAGAAGCAGGGATCAGGAACGGTGACTGAAGGAAGCCGAGGAGGACTAGCTGCATAGCTGGTAGATGTCAGCAATATGGATGAGACGATGGGTTTGAAGCCAAAGCCCAGTCCTGTCTAGGACTACTCTGGAGTAACCGGGCAGAACTGGGGAGAGCTGAAGGCCGTTGTGGGGATGACGTGAGAGAACAGGCAGAGCAGAAGACCCAGACTGGGATAAGTGCTATGAAAAGTGAGTAAGAACAAGCATTTGAGTACATGGGAGTTTGATGTGGATTATGATGGTGAGAAGATTGAAAAAAAAAACAATAGGTTGGTCACATTGGAGCAGCGAAGGAATATTTGTAACAGAATTGGAAGAAAGAAGTGAGGAAAATGACACAGAAAGAGAACAGCAGATGTGCTGGATTACACACAACAATGGTAAAATTGCAAATAATTTCCTGGATAATGAGAAAAGAATATCTTAAATAGTCATCAAAAGGACATTTGGCTCAAGAAGTTACCCAGCATTTGCGAATATAGCCAATATATCTATCATGTTCTCACAGAGGAACAGAGGCACATTTAGCAGAAAAAAAAAATAGAAATAAAAGACCAACGGGGCACATTCAGGATGTGATTGTTGAAAATCCCTTTTGATCAGTAACCATAGGGGTGAACTTGCAGGCTTCCTCACCATATCTTGTAGGAGGAATAGTTTGAAATGAAGAAAGGGATCAGAAATACCCTATATCCCAAGGCTCAGTTGTGGTTGTCTCTTGTTTGCTTGCCTTTTTTCCCCTGAATTAATTTTAACCCAGGTCCATCTCCCAAAGGCTCTGCCTATGGCCCCATTAATTCTTGTATTGCCACCTAGGATGGGACTAAGCAGTGACAGTGCTAGTTTATGGCAGCTTGAAGTGACCCTGAAGCCTTGGCCTTAGGAACTTGCCCTCAGGCAGGATATTCTAACACAGAATATCTTCAGGAACTCTTGCAATGAGGAAATCCCTCTGCAGAGGCCTGGCATCCCTCTGCCAACAGTGTCCTCAGGCGATCATGATACATTTTACTAGGAGGTGGAATCAAGAAAGTCGGCAGCTGAAAGCAACCCTGGCTGGGCTGCTAAGAAGCTTGAGGCTTATCCACCACGTACGCATTAGCGTTTGCATTCTTAGAGTTATCCACATACTTGAAATTATTTACCCTCAAATTTAGATTTTATCCCTATGTATTTGCACAAATGTGTCTCATTCAAAAAGTCTTACGCGTCTTATTCAAAATTCACAAATATGTCTCATTAGGCAATGTATCCATCAGCAAGTTTTTCACATTGAAATGAATCCATTAAATTGAACAGGAAGAACACATTAAAATTCACTTTAATACATGTTTATTGGTGTCCTGCACTTTCAGTGTAGCAGGCTGGAGATGTAATAAAAAAGTTCAAAATTTATTGGTTACGTTTCATTTTAATCACTCTAAACAACCAGTGCTTTAGAGTTCAATGAATTAGCGCTTACTGTCCATTACAACCGAAATTTTAATATTATCTTTCTTGGAGTCTGCTTAGAACTCCTCTCTTTTAAAATTCTTCAGATACATTCCTCAAAGTAAACAATACATTTCAATCTGTGTCACAATCAACATTGATAAGGCCTTCTTAACCATTTTATACCACCTCCACTATTACTTCATTGCAAAACACAATCTTATTTCATACTATAAATATCCATCCATGCACAAAACACAGGGGCCAGAAGTTACACATTAATGTCTCATGTAGACTTCCAAGACTTCTTTTACCCTCTGCACGTTTATGGTACACTTAAAAAGATATCTTTAGACTTGGTCTACTTGGTCTTAAAATACAAATATACAATATCCGTAAGCATAAAAAAGTAAAGCTAGATTGCCTTACCATTTGTTATGAACTGCTAAAATCTTATACATGTACAATATAGTATCATGCTGATTAATATACATATTAGTTAAATACACCAACCAATAATAGGGATGTGGTCAAGTTTTTTTTTTTTTTTGTTATGAAATAAGAAATTGTTCATATTCAACTAAAAAGATTTTGATTTTGATTTTTGATTAATTTTGATTATTCATGTGGAATACCTGAACCACAAACTTCTGTAAATCCTGCGGAGATATTCAGTTTAAACTGGGGCATTATCTGCTTATTTGCTGATTTCAAAGGGAATAAAACTCCTCACAGGGGATATCTAAGGTGTGCTATTCCCAAGGGAATGCAAATTTACTAAAGTTCACATTGTCAGATCTCGAACATGTTAATTTTTGCATCCTTCAGCTTGATTTATACCTTTTGGGTCAATTCATCATCTTCCACCAGAAACGATTCAGTACCTCAGTGTTACTGTAGGTTTTTCTAAATAAGTAGATATACAGTACAAAGTGTAGATAGTGAAACAAATAAGCACATATATACAGTCTTTGAAAGGCATTTTTGTGACCATTTTAGTTGTGTTTATAGAAAACATTTAAGATGATAGTCACATTCTGATGATACCACTGTATTGCAGACTGTCAAGCCACATTTTTATATTAAACTTGTACTGCATTGTATATTGTACAACAAAAGATAAAACAAACATTCTTAAGGTGTGACAAAATAAAAAAAAAATACTAGACTGAGTAAGGTAACCAGCACAGGGCTTAATTTTCCTGAGGTTTGTAAAAATTCTTTAAACAAAAATCACAGTGACCAGGCTAAACTGCAAACATATTGTTAAGTTTTAAATATACAGTTTATACAGAAGTTCTGTGCATGGTTGACTCAACTGTGTGTGTTCACGCTGATGTTTGCTCTAAATGACTCGCCACTGCATAATACTTGTATCTTTTCCGCCTGTGGAGATGAGATGGGTGTCTTCACAGAGAAAATCTACATTAGTTACATGACTACTGTGTCCACCGTACACATGGCTTGGGGCCTGGAAAACACCATATTAGTGAGAATATAAATCGTCATAAAATATAACATTAGAGCATAACATTCAAACTATGATGGAATAAAAGCATCCACATTAGTGTCCTGAAATATTGTGCTATTAAATCGAAAACATTTAGTATTAATGTCAGTCAGCACTAATTAGCAGACTTTATCATATAAGTAATCTGACTCTTTCATTTGTACATAGGGCAAAAAAATCCTGTGTTAGTAAGAGTTACAAGAGTGATTTTTTTTTTATAAGTAACTTACCCTAAACTGTGAGCAGGGATATGAGAAGAGATGTACTTTGCCAAAATCATCCCCTGTTGATAGCAGTTTTCTCCCATGGGATCGACAGACAGCATTGATGTCTGTTCCATCTGAACCTTCAGGCCATACACCTGAAACATGGAGGGAATAATTAAAGGTTTCTATAATGGAAATACAAGTGGTAGCTCAGGTTTTTGCTATAATTTTCATTAAAGATTACTTGTTAAAAAAATTAAAAACAACCATGGTTGGGTCAATATGTGTACTTAAGTGAAAGTCCAAATCCTAATAGGAAATTAAGCAGAAAGAAATGCTTCTGTTTATTCTTTCTACTCAGCAAAATGATTTTTTCTTCAGGAAAGTATTCTTCAAGATTATGGTCACATAGCTGAGCCTACAGGAATTTTTACACGGTTATGCAGAGAATAGCATGTTACTGTTTTTATTCTTCCCTTCTGCTTGTCTTAAAGGTATTTCCCTAATACAGCTATGCAGAAAGAAGCTTATTCGTGTAGGACACTTTTCCCCACTACTATTGTATGACCAACACACTTTATTTATATTACTGCGGTGTAAAAACCTATCTAGAACAATTTTAAAATGTCATTCAAATAATTAACAGATTCCTCAAATAAAAACAAAACATATTATAAAATCCTTAAATAGTTTTATTTTACTTTAAGTGATTCTCCTACTTCCTCATGTCCTCTATTCCTTGCTGATCTTGCAGTGTTGTTCTAAAATTAAACGATATGCTTGTTGATACAAGGACAAAATCTTTGTACCATATCTTTTAAAAGCCTGAATGTTCATCTGCTGAAATAATACTAAAATCCAACTCCTTATTGAAACCTTTTTGTTTTGTTTTGTTTGCTTATTTGTTTGTATACAGAACTGGGCATTTCCCCCCCTCTGGTTACCCTACGGTCCAGCTAGATTCTGTCATTTGGACTACAGAGAATCCCAAAATGGGAACCTGTCCTGAACTGTAGAACAGCACTTGCTGTACATGTAGTTCTTCCCAAATATCATTTTTCTGTGTTGTACAAAAAGGACTGAAAGGAAATTATCTCATCTACTTATGTACATGATCTTTGAGGAATTACAAGTTATTGTAAATCAAATGAAACACCAAATATTGTTTTGTAGAGTGCCATTAATTCTCTTGACACTGCGTATGGAAACACCTCTTTGCTAAATCAAGAATATAAGGAAAAAGAAAAAAGCAGACAAAAATAAGAATTTGCAGGGAAGAAATACAGTACTCACAACTGGGATTACGAATGGGGCACAGAATAAAGACACAGAAATGTTGTTTTAAGTAACTGTTTTGTCAAAAAGGAAGCTGCATGTTCATATAATGCAGGCTGAAAATGGAGAGGAGTCTTCTCAAGAGGGCAATATGGCAAATTGGAGGAAATGGTTTAAAAAACAAGATTGTCATTCTGATGTGAGGAAAGAATCATACCAGTTTATTTTTTCTCTGAGATTCTAGGATCTTTTGTAAGTGACTCCAGTGACCCACCATTCTCACTGTTAGCTTTTCCTAAAGCGTAAACTGAGTGACCTTTGTTGAAAAATTAGTCTACTATTTTTTGGTTCGCTCCTGTGTGGACATGGAAAAGGGATCATTTCTTTTCTCTTATTTGGAGACTGATGCCAGTCTGTTTTCTCCTTCTCTTCTCTAGAACTCATTCATTACATCTTTTCCCCAGAACAATATTTACATCTATTATTATTCTTCCTACTCATCATTTGGACCACATTATCTGTTGGTTCAATGGACAAAACCCAGAAAAAGTATTCGAGCTGTGACTGAAGCAGATACAGAGGATAAATGGACAATTACTTCACATTTTGCATGTCATCCTTTTCATTATACATCCTACTAATGCATCTCCCTTTTTCACAACAGCACAATAATGCTGCCTCATGTTTAGTTCGTTGGCAAGAGTAATCTCCTGATCTTTCTGTGCAGAACTGCTGTCTTGCCAGCTACCCTCCATTCTGTATTTGTGCAAATTGGCTTATGCTGTTTCGCTGAATAAATTTCTATTTGTCCCCATTGAATTGCCTCCTTTTTCATACCATTAGTCTGTCAAGAAAATTTTAACTGCTACTCCTGCAGCTTAGTGTCACCTACAGATTAAATAAGTATACTGCTTTATCATCCATATTACTAATAAAAATATTTTAATAAAAACAATATAAAAATATTAAGTGTACAGCCTTCTCATTTGCTTTGCACCAGGTCAGTCTCAGTAGCGCTTTCCTAGCTTGTTTGCAATATATTATCAGGCTTTTCACAGCATCCTACATCTCTTCTTTTCTTATCTGTGAACTCAAATACATATTTTTCAAAGAGTGGACATGTGATATGACCTGATGGCTTGTCTGGCAGCACCTGGATCTTCCAAGTGCATATAGATCAGGAAGTGTTTTATAGTCTTTTGTCCTGCAAGTTTACATGTGTTTGCATCACTGGAGCCTTCCTTATTGAACATGTTTCTTTACATGCTGTTGACTTTTGGTTGAATCATCTCCAAATACTTTCAGGCTGACTAATCTGTTCCCATACTTGAAGGCAGGTGTTCAACAGATCAGTGTTCGTTTTCCACTCAGCACTGATTATGCCAAACTGTGAATGTTATGCATGCTGTTTGTAATGTCTAACCAATTCTACTAGAGTGAGAAAACGTCTCTAGTTTCAGTCAGTCAGTAGCTGGTGAACGTCCATTTACTGGATGCCTCACACCTTTGATGATGTGACTGCTTCTGCTGTACCCAGCAGGGCCATCCTGGCAAGCATTTAAGGCTGTTCAAGGTGCTTGCTCAGAGGCCCTGACGTACTGAGGGGCTGAACACATTCAGCATTTCTGTAGGGGCCTTCATCCCTCATACGAGAGAAATACATTATGTATCCAGCCTGTCATCTAGGATTTCTTTTACTAAGTCTGCGTGTTTAATAAGACCCTGCTAGCAATGAATTTTACAAAATGCGAGTATTTCTTCCTAAAATATTACTACTGCCACCCCGTCATTTAGGCCCTAAATATGTCCTTTCTGCCTGCTTTCAAACATCTATTGCATCTATTTTACTTGAAACGTGTCTTAAAATCTTCCTTGTTTACTGTTTATGCTAAAACAGGCTCTTCTTTAAACCTCTACTTTACCATCCTAACAATTTGATGTTTTTGTTGGATGTGTTCCTATTTTTTTTTCTTCTATATCTTTCATTTCAATTAATTATCTTAAATGTATCACCTCAAAGTCCATTACAAGATTTTTTGTGATGGAGGCTGTTACAGCAACTGTGCAAACATAAGATCCAAATGAAACTTGTTCTAGTAGGGGAATTTGGTCCAAATGTCGCACAAATAAATTATACGAGTTCCACTGAAATGGTGATGTATACCTAAAGAAATGAGGAGCCTTTCTAGTGTGACAGAATGGGCAGTTTGTGATTTCTTCCCCAGTTTCCACTTTTCTTGCAATTTTATATCTCTGTTTGAAGCTAGCAAGAATATATTAAATCAGAACCTTTCTGGATTGAAATAAGAGGACAGATTGTGATAAAAATGGTATAACAGAAGTTCTCTATTTTTCCCTGAGATATGAATAGTTATGTTTCATTAAAAAAAAAAAAAGTATTAGCTAATAACAATGATAAGAGCTTGTACATACCAAAAACATGGAATCCTAAAGTACAGGTATAAGTAGCCCATTCTATATCTCGAGTTGTTTCAACACTCACTACTTGTTTACAAGCAGAGGGGATCCCTATAAAAGAAAAAAGGCATGACAATATTTTTGATTTAAAAAATGCCAAGGCTTTGATTGTACCAGATGAATTAAAACATATGGTCTCTCTTTGCAATTATAGGGTCTCATTTAAATTTTAAATCTGAATCAGACTGCCTAAAATCTGCACAAAAAGACAAAACATAGTTGTTACTCACAATATAGGATTTCATAGTCCCCTGAATTAGACACAAGATATTGTGAATTAACAGACCAATCCAAATGGGTAATAAAGCTGGAATGACCCTACAAAGAGAAGAGTATTATATTAGCTGTGCTAACAGAATCTCTCAACATAGCTGTATTAACACAATCTTAAAGAACACACTTCGTGGTTAATATTGAACATGGAGAAAAAAGGTCACTTACTGAGCATTTGCCAATTCGAGTGTACTTTCTTCCATTTTCACTTACACCGTATATATAAATACAGTTGTCATGGGAACCTATCGCTAAGAAGTTTCCATCTATAAATACAGAAGTGAATTGTAATTATGCTAGTAAGAAAGAATTGAAAATGATTTCACAGAATTATTTTACCACAGACAGTGGAAAGTCTTTCTAAATGTATTAATATTGAAGAAAATGTAAAGTCCTATTTTTTTCTTTTAGAGTTACAAGTTGATGTCTGTTTCAATATCATAAACAGCAGGTTTATGGGGCAAATACTGCTTTTAAAGACATATGGCAGTCCTGGAAGCAGCTATTGTCAATTTGGGGCAAGTCCGATTGCAACAACAGGCACAATTTGTTTTTCCCTCCCCATTGAAACCATGCTGCATATGAGGGTGAAAAAAATGGAAAAAAACCCCTAGAGCTTAAGACACCACCCACTCCTTGTTGCCAGTGTTTCACCAAATACTTATTTTCAGCTTAAATATGGCAAGTGGGGAACAATTTTAAAACAAATAACCCCCCAAATTAATAAGAAATTCAACACTTCTTTTTCAAGCAGTAAATAAACTCTCACAAACCTGGTGAGTAACGCATTACAGACAGCTGTTCGTTCCCATCTGTGTGTACAGTGACCAAGTCTTTTGTTTCTGTGTCAAACACAAACCACCTGTTGTAAATATAGAAAGAGGCCAATAAATCATTCCATAAGGAATTTAATTCTGCTGCAATCTTGACCAACTTTTCTTCTGTCAAAATAGCAACACTGCCTAAGTTTTCCACAAACAAGAAAAACAGCAACTGCTACTCATTTCAGCTTATTTTTTACTTTAACAGAAGGGTGATTTCATTCCAGTGGTCTTAAAAAGAACAATTTTCAGAAATTGACCCCGATATCAATCTTGAAATTGCATTTTGTTTTACCATATGTCATTAATTACAATAAAGTATGAATTATATATAATTAGTCTCCTCCTTTAAGGTTTCTCTATGCTATGCTGACATTTAAATTAATGCCTATATTAAATCGCAGAGCAACAGAAAAGAAGGGCAAGAATCAGGATTGGTGTATCTTAGAATTAGAACACATTGATTCTTCTAACATGAAGGTTTGCTTCATTTTTTAAATTGTAATTAATTAATCACAATTCAATTCATGGAAATGCACAGGGGACAAAGTTAAAGTTTGCATTTTAATACTTACAGAAGATTATTAAAGACAAAGTAAAGTTTCCATCCCCAAACTTCTCTTTTTGAAAATATACATAAATAATCTTGATTACCTATCAGCAGGAGGCATATTCTCAGTTATATCTAATTGTTTTTAATATTGGCAGCAAAGTCTGCCCTCAGGTGACATTAAAGGAAAGGACAAAACCATGGTGCAGGCTCTCCATTAGGACATAGGAAATTGAGCACAAACCCACAGATCTGCCAATGATTCACTATGTGACAAAAGGCTCAATTTTCCCTGTAAAATGCAGATAATTGTTACTGCTTTTCTCCCTGGTTTTGTCCATTTTCAGGCAGAACAAGTCTCTTAATATGAGTTTTTACCATGCTTAACAGTGGGAAATTTGCCAAAAGTCTGCTAAAGCCCCTGGATATTACTGCATTTGAGATAATAAACCACTTATTAGCTTTTCAAATGAACACCCTTTTGCTATGCGATTTTTTCCGTGCTGCCCTATGGGCCTCAGGGAAACTGTGCGCACATGTGTGAAGTTAATCCTTTATGTGCCTTCAAACTCTTCCTTTAAACTCTCCTTTGCAATGGTAGACACAAAAAATTAACATTTAGGTCACTGGCTTGGTGACACCACCATTGATGGCACATGGTTTTACTGCTGACCTATAGCTCCTGCCCAGTGGAAACCTTCTGGTCTCATGTTGTCCCCAGGGTAGGGACCTTCTCCCCGTTATCCATTCAGGTTCTGTTCTGCTCACTCAGCTCAGTGGTACTGCTCCAAGGACAGGGTTTCTAGGCCACTAACGCAAGGAGAAATCCACACGCTCTATGTGTCCCTGCTTGAGCAGGGAGGTTGGACTAGATGATCTCTAGAGGTCCCTTCCAATGTTAACCACTCTGTACTGCTTCTTGGTGCCCCGCTGTACCCTGTGCCTCTTACCTTCCTGTTAGCGTCCCTACTGCCACGACGGATGCTGAAGGATGAAAACCCGAAGACTGTGCTGGGTCCTGAAATGTTGCAGAAGGAACCACACGTTATTAATCATTTCAGTTCATAATAAAAAACACAATTCAATTTTTATTGAGGAACAGATTTTTTTTAATAGAACTTGAGAAAAAAAAAAAGAACTGATTCAGACATCACCCAATAGACTTTTCCTCTGTACAAGGCCACTGAAGTTTTCTGCACTATCTTATCAAAAAATAACTTGGCAAGTGATTTCCTAGCCGTAACATTGGCAAAAGCAGCTTCTCAACAAATCACAAACAAGAGATAAAAATAGTTTACTAAATTAGAGCTGACCTAAGAATTAAGTAGCAGAGCTGCAGTTTACCTACTGTCGAAAGGACATGTGAGTATGTTATTCAACAGAGTCATGCATTACTTTGCATGCAGGGATAAAGCATTAACTTCTACACACACAGAAGACTTTTTCAGCACCTTCCAGCTGAATCTTAGTGGGAGATTAAGGACATGAATTGGGTTTTTTATTTGGATTTGCAATATTGAGACATTAACATTCACTTTTGCAAAACAACAACAACAACAACAACAAACGGTTCGTTACTGGATGTAGAATTACAATGTTTTTCTTGCCATTAAAATGTATACCAAAAAGAAAATAAATAAAAAGTACATTTTCTTTCAAATGTGTTACAGCTACCCAGAACCCTGTGCTGCATGTCATAGAATGAAGTCCCAGAATAAATAACCTTTTTTTTTCCTCCTGATACATGCCAAAAATAGTTTTGAAATGCAAGCAGAAAATCAAGTAATATAGCTCTCAAAAATGTCTACGTTATCTTGTTTTTCTATACTCTAAAACACTAATCAAATTGCAGCATTTTAGTAAACTTGCTTAATTTTTTATCAATTTGGAATTACTAGTCCTAGTGGTAGGTAGAAGGGGCATTCTCCTTAGTTTTAAATGAAGTATTAATTTCAAATAAGTTACTAACTTCAAAGAAGTTTCACCGAATTGTTAACCTGTGAGGCTTGTATATACATGTTTGTAGGTGATGATAATTTATTTAAAATAATTTTCTACTGGTGCATGTAATAATCAAAGATTGATGTTGTTGCTAGGTCTGTATTGTAAAAGTTTGCAAATGCTCAGCTGAGTGGTCTAAGTAGAAAAAACGTAAAACAAAAAAGCAAATTAACTGAGAACTTCTCTAAGAATAGCAGAGTTTTGTTTAATAAATGCATACATCTATAATCTTGTTCCAAATAGGACGATGAGAAGTAGCATCCCAGAGGGTGATGTGTTTGTCATGTCCACAAGTGAAGAACTGAGGTTTAGAGGAATGGACTGCAAGTCCCCAAAGCTCATCAGTGTGACCCTGCATGAACAGAAATGTTTCTTAACAGGGTGGACAGCAGCAATGAAACTAACCACATTTAAACAGGATTAAAATGAGGAAATTATATATTAAATCATTGCAAATACATTGCCTTGGATAAATATATATTTATCATAATATCCATTGCCAGAAGTCCTGTGATGATAAATTTTACAGATTCACATTTATGATACTAGAATTTAGCCAATACTTTTACACACAATAATTAGAAATATTCAAGTAAGGCAGCAACTTACCTGGGTAATTGGAAAAAAGTCTCCGGACAGTGTTCCCTGGAGAACAAAGTTTCTAGTAGTTCCTATTAACACAACATCACCTTTTCCCTCTGCTACTGTTCTTATTGGACCAAACTTCTCTGGAATCTGTGTTCATAACAGATAAACAGATAGATAAGTCAGATTAGAAGATGATTTGTCTGTGTTAGTATTTTTTAAAGACATGTGGCCTAACAAGTGTATTTTAACAGAAATTGTAGAGAGATGATAAAAAATACGTGAATGTCCATGGCTTTGAAAAGTTTGTAACTTGCGTCAGCTTAGTAATTGTCTTTATAACTGCAGGAAAAAATATCCTTACCCATGGAACATTCCACATGTACAGATAAACTAAGTATTCTAACAAGCAGAAAAGTTACAGTTTCTTCATGCTGTATTAACTCAATCATATTTTAATGAATTAGTCTTGATACCAGACTAAGTATTTCTACTCAGAGGTGGGGTCAAGGCTTTATATCACTAGTGCTTTCCTTCAAGGTACGCTCCTTCAGCTGGCCCTGAGTGTCTGGAACACTCAGTGCAAATCTCCAATTTAAAGCTCAACAGAAGATGTGAAATTTAAAAGAACAAACAAAATCGTTGCAGGAACAAATAATGAAAAAGGAAGTAACCATCTTCAGAGGCCATGGTTAGAAACAGTACAAGAACATATTATTTTGTGCTGTGATAAAAAAACAAATTAGTGAAAATAACATGCCATTCCGGTTGCAAGTATATTTGGAATGCTTTGGAATAGGCAATTTAGTTGAAACCCTTTCTCGGAGTTTTACACTGATTATACAATTTCATCCAGCATATAAGACATCGTATAATCCCATCTAAACAAAGTACACTTTAAAATTCAAGTTCAGTCGCAACAGAACTGATTTTAGGAATTTATTAAAAGAAAAACAACAACCAAAAAAGGCAGAAAAATATATGGGAAAAAAGTGATTAAAAACGATAGCATTTTGAAAAGAAAAAAATCTAAAATAATTCAAATACTGTTGTAATATTATTGTATCTTAAGCAGAAATGATCTAACATTACCAATTGCAAAAATGAAGAAAGAATACAAAAAAAAAAACAAGAACATGTTTTCCAAATCAAATAGATCTTAAATATAAAATATTATTTAAAGAATAGCCTATCACAAAAATGACCTGATTGATTACTCAAAAGGTACAACATTTTAGTATTAATTTTCTTTCTCACATAGTTTATCTCACAAAAAACCCCAAACAAAATATAAAAGTAAGAATATCAGCTCAGAAGAAAGCTAAAATCTCACTTTGAGTAACAGAGTAAAAGATAGGGGTTTTCACCTCTGTTTTGTGAAGTTTTTGGTAATTTCCATTCCAAGATATTAGTTTTCGATCTTTTCCACCTCCGGATACTAGGGTGCCATCTCGTAGCATGCAAAGCGCAAATATTCCACCTTCATGCGCCCCTTGAACTGCGTGGCTTATTCTATTGGTACCTGGATACACAGAGAAAAGATACTACTACTGAAATATTTAGCTCAATAGTTCATTGCTTTCTTAGTTTTATGTACCTGTTTTTATTTCTCTATGTGTTAAGGTTTATAGCTAACAATGAGGAGGGCAGGTATTGAATATTGCATCAAAATGATTGATTCTACAGAAGGGACTGAATTAGCATATCTTAAAAATATATTACTCCTCAACTCAAAAAAAAAAAAAAAAACACAAAAAACACCAAACCTCACATTTATTCACTTGAAATCTGCCTACATAGGGGTCTCTGCTGCCCTGTCAGGAGGCAGTGAATGGCTCTCTGTGAGGGCCTGTATTTACTATTGAGAAGGCAGGAGGCCAAGGAGAATTCACAAGGCTGAAGCCCATTGCTGCAACTGCCTCTTTAGTCTCACAGCACCTTCATGCCAACTATGTCAATATAAATATGTCTAATTTGAGAATCGTTATGATTATGAAGTATAAAGAGAAAAATATTAGTGATTCTATAACAGAAACATGCACCTTGAATCAAAGCCTGGCTGACCTCACGCTTAGCTCCAGTAATGGACTGACATTAATTAGGAGACAAGAACTGCTTTTTCCTTTAAAATTGCTTTTGATTTAACTATGGATATAATGTGTAAGTTAGTGCTGCATTATGTAAAAATAAGTTTTTGCTAAGGGTCTTCTGAACATGTAGAAGCAGCCCTTGCTTGAATATAGAGCACTGACTCAGAAGAGGTGAAAACTTAGTAAAATATGTCACATTAAGAGAAAAGAACATTTGCATCCATCCCAAAAGAACTGGCAGAGGCAAAGAGATCTTGCAACATACAAGGGATTCACTTCCTTTTCTAGGGAAAAAAAAAAAAAAGCAGAACACATTCCTAAAATGGGGTTACAATCATGCAAAAGTTCAGCCTTGTAATAAGGTTTCACAATGATTGTCACTCTTGTCTTACCTTTCCCCCAAACCAAAATGTTTCCGCTTGAATCTCCTGTAATAGTATCACCATTTTCAGAGAAGGTCACACACAGGACAAACTTTGGCTTCTCTTGTTTCTGTATGGTTATGAAAAATACACACTCAGAGCAACACACAGCACCATTCATTTTAACTGCATTCATTTGAGAAATTTAGTTTAGTCTTTCACAGTTCCATCATTACTTGAATATCTACACAAGAGTTGACCTCTTTCCAATGGTCCAAACAGTTCAACTAGGCAAGGTCAAAAGATGCATCGGGGAGCTTGGGGTGCCCGTACTGCACCCAATGCTACGTTCCAGCTGCAGGTGAGATGACCTGCCAATGTTTAACACAAGACCAAGAACGTCCCCAGATATTCTGAATCCCCAACTCCCTCTAAACCACAAAGACTCAAAGCATTGGGAAATGGCCGGCAATGCAAGCAAGCTTTATTATTATTTTGTTCTCCAAAGATTCTAGGAGAATTACTATTACTCTAATCCCTACTAGAGAGCTTGGCTGCAGTATAAATCATTTTTGGATTGACTACTAAATTCAGAAGTGGAAATGTTGCTTTAAGACCCTGCATTTAAGATACGGACAAGAACAAAATGGAATTATTCTTAACTGTAAGAATACAAATATGTTAAACTATCTAGTAGCTTCCAAGGACATTATTTACCATGTTTGCTGAACAGTAAATTTTATGGTTTTCTTTCTCCCTTAAACTATTTGGAACTAGTTATTAACTAGGACCACCATAATTTTGCATTTACAACAAGCATATGTCATAATAGTTCCATAACAGAGGCAGAAATCATCCAGCTGTTTAGAAGATAGGAATGAATGAAAAATAAAATAAAATGAAACAAAATTCAAAGCATTATCTCAGTATCTCATCTGTATTTCACACAGAATACATAAGCTGACATTGCAAAGTGGTTGTTTTGGCTGTTCTTGCAAGTCATGACTCCACAAGCAAATTGTTAACTAGATCCTGCTGTAGTTTTCTGCAGTCGATGCAAACATTTCCCGTTTGCGCATGTAAAGCTGTAAAGTTTAGTCTATGTTTAAGAACAAAACCAAATCAAGCCCTTGATTTAAATTAAAATGATATTTAGGACACAGTGTGCAGCTCAATCTATTCAAATTGCCTATGTGTATGTACCTGAGCAGAACAGAGGAAAAGAATATTCATATTCACATTATTTTTAATTGAATTAGATGTGACTTTGCAAGTCCTTCCTCTGACAATGAAAAAAGGGCATATTTTTCTTTCTATATTTTTAACCTGGAGTGAGCACAGAGAGTTTTAATGTAATTTTCTTTTCCTGGGGAGCAGTATAGAGAATATAGAAAAAGGCAGATAAGGAACAGAATGGGAACTACCCTTTGAAACGTCACTGTGGCAAATCATCAAAAAGTTTGCTGTGCTATGCCAAGAATGCTATCTGAATTTTTGTAAAATTGCAAATTTGATAATTATATTTGTAGAGTTGTTCATATATTAAGCCTTATTCCTGTATGACTGTACCATTATGATTAACATGAAATTAAGGAAATAGCTTATTTTACCTCAAATAATCCTTGCTTTTTAATGAGGGAATTGCCTTCTAGTGTCCAAAAATAAAGGTGTGATTTTCCACAAGTAACTATTATATTTGTGTCAGTGGGGTGAAAATCTGCAGCAAATACAGCCTCATTAGAGCACTTGGAAGAGAAAAGAAAAAACATTGTATCACAATTTAAAATTCAAAGAGAAAAGCAATGTAAAATGTTTCTCTAGCTATATAAATGATTAACTCAAAATATAAGAAAAATACTGAGCCATTCATTTGTTATTCAAGACTGGAACATTTTGGCACAATACTTTGAAGCAAAAAGACTGAAGTCAACTGATCTTTTTTTTTTTTTTTAAGTTAGTATCAAAATTTATCCTTCAGAGGTATGTCTGATAAGGAGAGGAAGATCCATATGAAATACAAGATTAGTTTAACATGTTTCTTTTCTGCACATGTTATCATTGCTTTCCAGTTTTCTAATAAATTATAACATGACTACAGCAACAAAAAACTTATTAGGATGATCTTAACAGTAAAAGGAAAGAATTCCTTTTATCCGATTTTTTGCCTTTTATAAAATGAAAATGTTGAAAAGGCACAAGAAGTTAAATATTGACGTTTTATGACAAGAAATCCAGATCTACATACAAGCAAGTAGCAGTACACAAAATATCTTATTGCAACACCTTGACATCTGCCAGTTTTTCTTCTTTCTGCCAGTCCCACACAGAAAGCACGTGGTCATTGGAGTCATCCACTGAACACAGGCTACTTCCTCCATTCTAAAGCAAAACATGGAAAATATTAATGCATCCATAAGCCAATAGTAGAAAAATAAAAATACCCATAAAAAAGAAATACTCCTCATAGGCAAAAAGGACATATTTGTTGCTATATTTTTAGTTATCACATAGATCTTCATGATATATAGCATTTTGTTGGATCATTGAAAAATAGGGCTAAAAGGGGGATACAGAGAGGTACTCTTTCAGCAGAGACTGTGGAAGACTGGAAAACCATGGTCTGTGAGGAACGAGGTAGGTACGTCTTTTTAAACTGTTTTTAAATGTTGGTGGTACTTTCACTGAAGTAAATTTTGGCTGTGAAACATTCGATTTAGTCTTGTCCTTTTTGAAAATGCTTTTTTGGTGACTGGAGTAAATCACAGCTGTTGGGTTCTTACATATTCTGCTCTATACAGAGAGTTTCTAGGTTTCTGTGTGTGAACTTATAAACTCACATTTCTATATGTGACTTGCATACCTTCTGTGTCATCTTTTTTACCCTCCCCGTGATAAACCAGGGCTTGAAAGGTGCTGACAGAAGGGCAGCAACAGAGCATTCAGGGTTCTCAACAGTCCTTTACCCATAAGCCTTTTGCTGCTTTCGGACAAAATATTTTGCTACTTCTATGCGAGTCTCATTTTCTAAATCCCGAATCTGGGGTATACGCCATCATAAAACACCACTTTTAGAGACAATGCACAAAAAAAATAGCTGCAGAAATGGAACAGTTCTTTCTTCTTTTTTTAAGAAAGAAATGTAATGAAAAGATTAAAGGGATAAAGATAATGAAATTTCTTGAATATAAGTACCTGTGCAATTGTCTGTCCCTGAAAAAAATTAATAGCAATTTATGGTATGCATAAGAGAATTCTGAGACTATTGCTATCTTTTGTAATGATATAAACAGTCTGCGCTTTCAAGCTTTCCTCTTCTAAAGAGGAAGTTCAGAGAAACGATGCCTTGAAAGCTGAGGAAAAGAAAAAGCTTGGTCAAGGAAGTTAAATTTAAAAGACTTCAAAGATCTGTTTGGTGCACATTTTTAATATGTATGAGTATTCATTTACTTACAGATTTAGAAAAAGCAATGCAAGTGACAGCTCGGTCAAAAAAACCCATTCCAATGACATGCAGTGTATTCAGAGTAACAGAATCCCAGACACGTACATGTGGTGGTAATTGCTATAAAAATAGACATAGAAATAACGGCTGAAACAATGGTGCAAAATATATCAAGATTAAAAAACACAAACAAACAAAAAAAGAAGATAATGCATCCAAGAAACATTTAAACCCAATTTAAGGCATGAATGTCATTGGGACTTCCCTGGAATGGCTGTTTAAGCGCAGATGGCTACAAATGAGAGCTTTGCTTAGGACCAACATCTGAGATTGAATATTCAGAGCATTCAAGTCTCACTGACAGTTGCTAATGCAGAGAAATTAATGGCTACTGAGACATGTTTCATTACATGAAAATTGCTGATAAACTGGTGACATGGGACCCAGGGTTAGTCCAGGGTTTAACCCATAACAAAGAAGATAATTCTGCTCAATGTCAAACAGCAAGGACATAAAGAAGATTAAGAATTTCTAAAGTGTAAATAATTTCTGAATTATAAAAATGATCATCTAAAAGTTTGTATCTTCAGATTCTTCTTTACATTCATAGTCAATCAACTTTTCTTTTTAAACACAAAACTCAGTGTTTGTATCACTAGGCATACATTGCCCCAGAGCACTTCCCTATGAAATTTTTGTGGTTCCTTTTCTCCTTCCCAAACCCTGACTTTTGTAAAACAGAGATTTACCGTGAAGACAGAAATGCTTCTCAAATCCACTAGAGGGCAATCCCAGTAAGCACATGTTGATTAAGTGTTATATGAAAGCAGTTAGGAATTTAGAGCTGTATGTTCAACCTTTGCAGGAAAACAGCAAAGGACAAATTTTATTTCCTTTTTCCCCTGCCCTTTCAAATGAAACTAATAAAAGGTTTATTGCAATATCTGAAAGAAAGCAGCAGCCATCAGTCTTTCTTTCTCATTGATCATAAATAGGGAAATTACCCGTAAATCAAAACCATCCCAGTACCGCAGATATAGAAATGTCTTTTATATAAGATTATATTCCACTTTCTCCTGAAGCATAGGCAAAAAACCCTCATATCTTATTTAACAAATATAATGGTAAACAATTGTACTTACGAAGTTAAAAGAATAAAGCTCATTTTAAAAGTGAATTTATGTTACTTAGCTAAGTTATCTTTACTTAAGCTTTGTAATGTGACCAAGATTCATTTACACGCAGTCAGCATATTGATAACCCTATTTTTAACCCTTGCTTATAAGTCTTTGATGACATCTATGAAAAAATTTCCAATAGCTTTGCCACAGAATCAACTGAGCAACTTTTTCCTTAGACTTTTATTCCCTCTTCTGCTGTCTGTCTGTCTGTCTGTCTGTCTATCTATCTATCTATCTATCTATCCTTTCTTACTTGACTTAGCATTTTGGGGCAAAGACAATTTTCTTCTGTCTTGTTAAATTCCTATCCTACAACCTGGGTTTACAATGGCAAGAATAGGAAATGATTTATTTTTCAGCAAAAAACCCAAAGCCATTCTTATTTGTACTTTGTTTTTGGTATTGGTGGTCAGAAATGAACTTGTTATTGTCCTACCAAATCTCCTCTGCTCCTCCTCCTTTTCTTTCCCGGCTCCCTACCTGCCCTCCCTCAGGTTTCCCCACTAGAGTCATCCTTTCACGTCTCTCCATGAGACCAATTCCAAAGCTGCCTTAGGTCTGCGTAAGCAACAGGACAAGAAATGACTGAGTGATCTTGATAGTGGGACGAGCTAACTCTGATATGGTACAATATGCATTCCCAAGTGAGTTTGTGCTCATTCCTGACATTTAAGACCAGTAACTGCAATATGAAAAGTATATATCTTTTGACAAGGTATTATTGTGAAATGCAAGAAATTATATGTCAGCAAAGGGGTCACTCACTTTTCCATCTTTGGATGTACCTGCAACTTGACCTGTTGCTATAGTGATTCTATCAGGATGGACAGCTAGGCTGGAAAAGAAAAACGAGAAAAGGTCAAACTTCAAGCCATGGAAGCCACAGATTATATTTTCCATTATATTTTTGCTTCAGCTTGTAATAGCCTTTAGTCATAAAACACATAACAGCCATGTAAACATTTTACACACCTATAAACAGAATCGAGAAAACAATTTTTCATGCTCTTATTCAACAAACTGTTCCCTTACAAACAAAGCAGTGATATGCATAAGCCTCAACACCTACCCCGACCAGCACCAGTGTTACTTACGTTGGTATTCACCTCATCTAGATTTAAATGACTGCAATATATAGGGAGTTCACAGCTGAGCTTATTATCTAACTTCAGATAACTCCTATCCGAGTGGGTAGAGATCTGGTCAGTACAGCCCAAGTAGTCCAGCCAACAAGCCCGCAGGCCAAACACACACATCTACACAGAGGACAAAATGCTCCCTAGGATCTATTGACCAAATATGCTGGGACTCCTATTAGAACTTATTTATCTAGCTAAGATAGACACCTGCAATCAAGAAAAATGATTCCAACCCATGGTATTTTTCCCAGAGCAGGATGGCAGTTATTAGAGTCTGAGCTTAATAAAAATGTTCATCACCTTGTCTCTAATAATTTTTAAAAGGTAAAAAAAAAAAAAAAAAAACACACTTACATAAGAACGGGGGTGAAAAAAGGTAAGAACTAGGGTACAGAAATTACATCATCTGATTCCTGGAATCAAACCTGAGATTTTTAAAACTATGATCAACAATAATTAATGCCTCTAAGAAAATACAATCTTGAATTTGTATTTAAGTTGTTCCTGGAGTAAATTCTATCTGAACTCCTTTTTCATGGCAGCTATTTTTCATATAATTTTAAAAAAGTAAAGTGCTGTTCAAAACGAACAGTGGCAATAATTCATTCAGCTTTATCATGCAAAGCTGTATGCTCTTCCTAATAAACCTGAGTGCTCTTGAATATCTACGGAGTGAGAAAATTTGAAAGAAATGAAATGGAACAGGTCCAAGTTAAAATCTCCCTGTAAAACAACTAGATTGTATGAACAATTTGATTTAATGAAACATGCTCACAGTGCAACCAGATTTCATTATCACTTCTATTTTTGGCTTTCATGGACAACAGGTGGTCCCTAATGCCTAACCTAAAGAAGGGATGTCAAACTCATTTTATACATTAGGGCCCATCAGATAATCCTGGTGCTTGTTGGAGCCACACTCAAAAAGTAGGCAGATACTGTCAAGATAAACCATACGCTTATTCATATTATGTTTACCACAACTGATATTTTCTGACACCTACCCTCCTCTAAGCTTGAACACAGATAGGCACTTCAAAGCCCAAGCTGGCATGTCTGCATGGCGTTAGCCTGTATGGGCCAACCAGACCCCTCTGGACTAGTCTGCAGGTGTCTGCCACCATGCAGACATGCCTAAAGACTTCCAGGAAGACTGCAGATGAGATTAGAACTGTTGTGGTTAGATCCAGCCAGAAGGACCTATATTTGGCACCCTGACCTAGATGAAGAAGAATAATTCAATCCTGTTTAAAACAGGGAACAGAAGCATGATTGTATCAATACTAGGAGGTGAGCCTAGAGAAGAAATTAATGTCAACTTATCCTAAACACAGATTAATGAAGAAGAGCAGATCTGCAGGTCAAAAGTCAGATTTCTACTCTTATACAGTAGAATTCTGCTCTTCTGTGTGCTCTGTGTAATCATATAGCAGACTTCAAGGCAGGTTTTGCGAGCAAACCTGCTTTTGGACAGATACTTGGATGTCTTAAATGCCTGTGCCGTCACATCCTGGCAGTAGTTGCACCTTGTGCTGAGTGGATTACAGCTATAGCCTATAGAGTAGATTACAGCTCTTTCTATGACCATAATCACATCTTAACTCAACTGTGCAAACAAGGTGTCACAGACTGGCACCCAGCCCATGTAAGACTTATGGATTAAATCATTAGAATTCACTTTAAAATTATATATAAAAAAAGTACAAAAGATGAAATCACAGACATTCTTTCATGAGAAAAAAAAATGTGTATTAGGAAACTTACCACTTTACATCATCATTATGGCCAGTGTAATGTCTCTGAAGCTGTTCTTCAACGTTGAATAACACAACTACCGACGCAATGAAATATACAGTTTCACCCGTTGGAAGAAGATACAGGTTACTGCGGCAGTCCCGACCCCTATATCCATAGCTAGCACGTTTGTCAAGGCACAGTAACATTACCTAAAAAGTCAGCATGTTAAAAGGAAGCAAACACAAAATGCTTTTCTGCCACTGGGATTTCCTGATATTTGGCATCTCTTGTTTTGAACACAGCTATACTACTTGAAAGCCTTCAAAAAATCTGTGCTTTCAAACAGTAAAAACAAAGCATTTCACAATCTTCATTACATAGAAGAGAACTGGCAATGGAGACAGGGACAGGATTTTGACATACTGCCTCTTTACTATTCTCTGGAATTTTATAAAAAACAGACAAAAGCAACATCAATTTTGTCCCATGTGTATTTACTATTTACACTGGTTGACTCTAATTAAAATAAAAATTTGGACTTGATGCAAACACTAATAAGTTATTCAGTACATCTCCCTGCATTATATTAGGATTGACTGCATTATCCTTTGTTCTGGATGATTGATTTCATTATTCTGGTCATTAGCAACCAGATGGACATAAACCTGGAGAAGGGTTACCTCATACATTTCCATTTATTTGTAGTATTTAAAAGGCAATGGCCCAGATTTTGATGCTAGCCATATCAACACTAATCTAAAATTAATCCAGTGAAATAACTGGAATTAATCCAGAAAAAATCTCATTTAGAGTGAATGTTAATTCAGCCAAATTATGTAGTTTTATTCTTGTGAAGAGTCATCAGGGATTGCAACTATTCTGGCTTTCTCTTTTTATGGGAACAGAGAGGAGCTGTGTTAGTTGAATCTTGGCAAAACGGAACAGCATTCTAATTCAGTCAGTATGGAGAATCTGGCTGCAACACATATTTGTGTATGCACTAAACCCCCAATTCTAAGATATTTAAGAGAGATTTGTGCTCTATTTTCTATGGTTGAAGATTACATAGTCAAACTAAAATACCCACATTAACACAATCCAAGAAATCAGGATAAAAGCCATCTTACTTCTAAAATATGAACTTAAATACCAGGTTGATGATGTTTTAAATAAACCCAGTGGAGGTAGTCATTCATTTGCTATGCTGCATACCCATCCACCAAAATGTGCAAAAATCCAGCTTTTAAATGCCTAAAATGGAATATTTCTTCAGTTTTTCCAAATTATTTTTCAGAATGGAAAGTTTCAAGTTTGACATATTAAAATTTAAAGAAATTAAAAATATAAATGCCTTACAATTGCAGATAATCTCCTAAGAATTTCTAAGATGTCTGCAAAGATAAGAGTTACTATTGTAATTGCAGGACAGTGCTTTATTTGGCCAAATTTATTTTTCTCTATGAGGCCAGATGGTACTACCAGTTGAAGCCAACATCACAAATACCTTAGTTCAATAACTAAAAATAATTTTCTAATGAACCAGATGCTTAAATTAGAATTTAAAAATTAAAAAAAAATATATACATACACACCTTCATGTCTCTGTGCGTAAACATGGGTATTAAATGGAAAACACACGTTCTTTCAAGAAAAGCTTTCTCTTCCCCCCTGCCCTTTCAGACGAATGAGATATTTCATCTCTCAGTTTTTCTCAGGTTTAAACACCCAGGGCTGCTCTCCTTCGCCTCCCGACAACCCATGCTCAGCATTGGTGGCTTCAGCGGCTCCTCGAGGTGCTGGCACCCTGGTGGCTGTCCCCCTACCCCATTACATTTCATGTGTGCCACTCGACGCGTATTTGATTTTCTTGCTGCTCTTCCTCATCACAGCCATTCCCGTTGCTCCCTCTTGCCTCCGATGCCTCATTTCTCTTACACTCCTAAGCCTTTCCAAGTGCAATCCCACAGCTCTTCTCTCCCCCTCCAGCGCTGTTCTCCTCCCCACTGACAGCTCGGCTTCTCCAGCCTAACTGATGGGAGTGCCTGCAACATCAGGTGCGTTCCGCTCTTTTGTCCTTTTCCTTAAATTATCTTTCACTACAGCCTCCAGCCTTTCTTCTCATCATTCTAGTCTGTGAACTGGACATTCATTGTAAATACCTAGTCATTGAGGTACATTTTAACTATGGATATCATGATTGAGTAATTGAGTAAATTAAATCTGGAAAACAATCATTTTTTCCTTTTTGGAACTGTATCTCTCCTCTTCAGTAACTTTTTAGATTTATTTTGAATATTTTATTTATTCATACCATTTTACTGCTAGCAAAGTTTTATTAATGTATAGGATTCTACTAGGTGTACGCACAGAAACACCTGAGAGGACATATGAATATTCACACTAAAACTAATATTTTCTTCTGGCAAATTTATAAATCAGTTAAGAAAGCTTAAGTGAGAAACTAGTGATAAGGAAATTATGATCTACTTCAATTATCATTTCCTATAGTAGTTTAAAATGTTAACTTTAGCTTCCCTCTACACATTGCTAATGAGAACCTGTTTTGTTTATTTAGTATTTTTGTTTAAAAAGCATCGTCACACTTTCTCCCATGTCATCCTTATATGAGACGGGGCCCCTCATAGAGGTCTGAAAAGTCATCACTCAATTTTGTTGTGATGTGCTGAAGAACTTGGACAGTGATAAGATACATATTGCTTGCAGCACTCTACTATCACTTTAACCTCAATCAGTTTATTAATTTGTGCTATTTAATTGATTTCTGGTTTTTAATCCATCTTCAGTCATTTCTGTATTTATTATCTCCAGATCCAGCAGAAAAGAATAGATCTCATAGACTCAGCTGCAATAGAAATAAAAAAAAAATGGATAGTAAATCTGTCATTAATTTGGAAACTTGATGTGTACATTCTGAAACCACATGTAGTTCTATTTATAAAACTTAGCAAAAGACTATTTGCAGTTTGTCTTCTTTTATATGAAGACAAAGTGACTTCCTATTTGCACTGTTTGGGACCAAGAAAAAGTCTTTTCTTAAAATAGAAATCCTTTGGAAGACTTTGTCTATCTAAAGATAGTGGATATTGCAAACAGATTGAAATCTTTCTGTGCTTATGCTTTATCTTGACTCTTAATGTTCTAGCCCACATGTTAAGAAGTGGACTTCTTCAAAAAAGAAGTCCTTTTTCCAATAAGGAGCAAATTTCCCTGTTATACTTAAAATTGAAATGCAAAAAAAAAAAAAAGTGATCTTCTTTTTAATATTTGAATTTTACATGTATGCCCATTCACATACACCGAAAGCAGTAGAAAATTTGGTTCTTGGGTATTTATGGTGTTTAAAATCTAAATAAAATAAATAAAAGCAGTTTTTTATATATGATATCTATTAAGAGTTGCTAAGTAGACAACAGTTGCAAAGTGCTATTTGATTCTGCTGTTAACTAAATATTAAATTTGATTATAGAATCCTCTAAAGGACAATGGTGCACATTTTATAAAATACAGTTTAAAATGATAAATTACTAATGAGAATCAGTAAAAGACAGGAACTTGTTTCATGAATAGCATAATTAATAATCACAGCTTGGTACAATTTTCCAATATGCCTAGTTTGATCTTGAGCTAATTAGCATATTTCAAATGTAACCTTCAGGCAACATTTAAGCAAAATCTTCGTTAAACTGCCATCCTGTATTCCACAAAATGCAGCTGCCTCAAGACAAACACCTATTTGAATGGAACATGACCTAATCCTTCACTAAGGAAATGAACTCTATTTAAAAAAATCCTAGTTTTGCTACATTCTAGCTCTAAAAAATATGTAAAACAAATCATTAAGACATGATTATTTCCAGTATATCTCCACCACAGCAAGGATACACCCATTCCAGTTTAAGCCTCTTGGCTGGTAGTTCTACTTTTGCTTCCAAATTGTAAGATTCCACTTGCTCTTTGGGCATGTACATGGTAACAGGACGTCCACGAAGAAACATTTTTACGTATCCTTCCTCTACAAAAGGTCAGAAATGTTTAGCGTTACACAGAAAGACACAATTGGAGAACTCCAGTGTTTCTCTATCCCTTCCCGCTTAACGGTTTGGTGGGTTATAATTACAAAATGACATGCGCTCTCAAATTTACATGATAAATTATGCAGCTTTTTTTTTTTTTAATAATCACAGACATTAAACATATTTTTTTTAAACACAGCAAGTCCCTTTTTCCTCTAAATATTTTGAACAGCAGAATTAGAACTAAACAATATTAAGAACTACAAAACTGTAAGGATTGAGATAAAAACTAATTTTTTGTTAAAAAATAATTTCTTTTAAACACTAAAAGTAAAAGGGAAAACATCAAAGATTACAATTAACGCAGAAATGCCACTTAAAATTATTTTATTTTTTAAAATCAATATTTACATCAGAGCATCAGCATCTAAAGTATTTTGACACTCATTTGCATTCTTTGCATCTCAGTGTAAAGATACACTTTACACTTGATACACAGTGTTAGAGATACATCCAGAATAAGGAACATAAACAATTAGTAAAGCGAATCATGCTGACGTACATGCAAAAAGAAATAAGTGCATAAGAATTACTAAACATTGAAAAAGGAATGACAACATTGACAGCACATTATAGAAAGGAAAATGACATACAGGAGAGAAGCTACAGAAGCTGAGTTGGCTCACGGAAGTAAACATTTCTAGGAGAAAATACTAAAAATAATGTGTTGGACTCTTAAGAAATATGTTTGGGAAAGAGAGGCAGGGATTAATAACAGATCTGGAAGTACTGACTTGGGGACTTCATGGGGCTTATAAAACTAGGTGATCTGGGAAATGCCATGAAGGTCTGACTAGGACTTTTGGGAACTGGCAAGGCCAAAGAGGGTGTCCTGTGAACTTCTGCTGCAGTTTGTCCACATTCAGAACGTGCTGGCTCTTGCTGCTCCATCGGCAGATCAAGGGATTCAGCCTTGTTCTCATGCGAATCAAGCAGTTTTGGAGTCAGTGACATCTGTAGAGTTACTAGACAGAATAATCGTGGGCACAGAGGAAATGGGAGGGCAGAAGTAACAAAATCATGTAAATAAAAAAAAAAGTATACGATTTAGGTCTGTTAAAATTATGCTATGAATTGTTAAGTATCATTACACACATACCATAATTTTTTAAATTTGAAAACTAAGGCTCTATTTGAATTGGCAAATAAGCACACATTACAGATCCTGATTAAAAATATTGGCTGAACAAATAAACATCATAGCTATGTTTTAGTACATAAATATGTGTATTTTGCCTTTACACTAACTCATTTGGGAAAGGTGTCTAATTGATCTGTCACAATAAATTCACAGTTAGGGTTCTAAAAAATAAAAACAAACCTTAATTTACAGAATTCATGCATAAAATGAAAAAAAAACATAAAAATTTAAAAAGCACAGAACGATAATGGTGACAGATGGTTGGAGTTCAGGATGACTGTAAAATTGCCAGAATCATGGAAGTATTTTTAAAAATCTGCTGTGATAGATTTGTATTAGAAAATAATCTATAGAGTCTTCTCCCTATATGATAATAGTGCATGAAAGCTCTATTTGTGCAAGCATGCAGCATCTATTTAATGCTCTTAAAATACATGCTAATACTACTAATACTGGTATGCCAGAAGTTAATGCATTTTCAGCAGTGACAACTCCTGTTTACGCTAAAGACACAGATGAAACGTTTAATTCGTTGAACTGTTTGTGTCATCTGCAACACATCATGGGATGCATAAAACTTGAATTTAGACATCTACCATAGAAATATTCACATTTGACTGAGTCACTCAAAGCTCCATTTTAGAGTCAGTAGAGAGCAGGAGACACCCCTGGAGGGATTCATCACATGTTGTTTGGATGTTCAAAGACAAAGTTTATAAACTGAGTCTTCAAAGTGACTCTATCTCTCCACTAACTGTAAAGAAGAACTTAGGATGACTGGTCTAGGAATAGAAATGCCTAAATGTCTATGTCTAAGTTTTGGTAATATTAATCTTGTCTATAATGATAGATGCCAGTAATAAAGCATGTGAATTACATGACCAATGCACATCCCTTTTCATTTGTTTTCCATAACAAATATTTTAAGACAGCAAAGATTCTCTATGTGAAGGTATATAGATATAAAGACAGACAATCAGCAGAAACTACAAAGAAAAAACAATGGTGAGATTTTTAAACAAATGTATCTTTTACACGTGCACTTTTGTAAAATTAAAATAGTTCTTGAAAATATCAGTAAAAACATATAGTTACTAAATTGAAATAAGATGCATGAACACTAGTAGGATCTGCAAAGGAGATCACTACTAATTGCAGGCATAAAATCAAATACTCAGAGGTAGAGACTTTTTCCTTTGTGAAGTCTTAAGATTTGTTGCAAAGCTGAAAGATGCTGATTAGTGGAAAATCTGTTAGGAATAACTATTTCTAAAAAGCAAGACAAACCCGTGATTATATCACAGATATAAACATGCATCAAAAATGTGCATATTTACACTACAACTTAGCTACAGCTTTAGAAATCAGTATGATACATTTTACCAAGTTTAAACTTAAAACATTTAGTAAACAGCATAGAGAAATTAGTTTTATGCCTAGGTCTGCTTACTCATGGTTCAGAAAACTCTACAGTCTACTCAGTATGAAAAAGCAAGGGAAACAAAAAATCAAGGCGCCTATAAACATATGTTAAACTAACAGCAAAACAGCCAACAAAGGGGCAGATTCTAAATGAATTTCAGCAGAAGTGCAGAACACCATTTCAAGCACAGTGAACATCCAGGTGTTGCCATATAGCTCTCTCAACATTTTTTTTTTCTAATTCAAACTCCTCTGAGAAAGCCCACACACATCTAAATTATAACCCAATTTTAAAAGTGCAGAGGAGGGTTATAATTCAGTAGATGGTACGATAGATAGTGGGTTTTTTTGCTTTATGCAAAAGAAATAGGAAAGGTTTGACATTGCAAAAGGCAAGTTATAAAATAGCTGTGTGTACGTACAGCTTTTATCATATTGGCACTAGTTTTGCTTCGAGAGCTATGAGGTTTTGGAAGTGAAGCCTACCTTTGCAGTGCGTCACACGGCGCTTCCCTTGTGATTACAGAGACAGAGACAGAAGGGCTAGATAAAGATGTGTTTGAGTACAACAGGCTCACTAAATACCTGCTCTACGGGCGGTCCAGGCGCATTCTGCTGGAGGCTAACCTGTTACCTGACAAAACACTGAGCCATACTCCATTCAGTAGGGTGGGTAAGCACAGTCAAAGCTCTATTCTTCCAACTAGTAGCTTTATATGTTTAATACTTGCATTGTTAAAATATTAATTTAGGCTTTCTTATGTATCTATATGCTAAAAATAACTATTAAGAATATCATGTATAACATTCTTACAAATAATCATTAACTTCAGTGAGAATTTTGCCTGGATGAGTAGTGGTGTCACATATGTTTAACTACTGATCTGACAGAAAATGACAGAAGAATAACAATTCCAAATATATTTGGGGTAACAAAACACAGCGTTTTCTTCTTTGTCTTCTTTTAAAGAATCTCACCGTAAAATAAACCTGTTGGCCCCATAAAAAACTAGAGAAAACTGATCAACTTTTTGAAAAAATATGCTACCAGTTGCCTGTAGGTTTCTTCCTTAAAGTCCCAAAAACAGTTCTGGGACATCCACAGATAAATTCTGCTATGCTATCAGGGTTATCTGTTTAAAAGTTGTAAATGTTCCTACCTGCACTGAACATTGGTTCCTTGGGTTTGCTGTGAAAAAAAAGAAAAAAAAAATCAATTAAAAAAATTATGTGCATACTGTACGTGCGAAAGGTAAAAATGGTTTACACAGTCTTACAGTTCATTTATTTACATGATAGATCCTCATGTAGACACAATAAAAGCAGCAAATATCATGGTTCCTTGATGATAGATACAAACCTTTTTCACATTCAATTCCTTTTAGATCTCATGACTAGAGATTGTCCTTCACTAACTGGCAGATCTTCTTATCCTACAGAGTTAGTTCAGTTGTAGGAGAACATTAGCCACATATTGTGGTCTCCAGTCAGTCAATAATATTTGTTATTTTAAAAAGGTCTGTAACTATAATAAAAAAGTAGGAATGCATCCTTAATTGTAAAATCTCTATGTACGTCTTTGTGGGTTGCTACAGCAGTGCATGTGAGGGTGTTTCCTTGCTTCGTGGGTTTGTTTCTCTCTGTATTTAAGGAGTAAAAATAAAATTTTGGTGCTTTTTTCTAGGAGTTTACACAAAACATGGAACTGCCTGATTGGTTCTTGGTGGATGGTATCATTTAATAAAACTCCAAAAGCTTCCAAAAGCACATAACCATCAGTATTAAAATGTTTCTTCTTTCTCAATGGACTACTGCTTAGAAGACTGAAAATAAAGTTGCCTTGCCTTTTTTGTCTTAGGGAAACCATTTGGGAAAACTTGAAGGGAAAAATACACTATGTGCAGAGAAAGAAGAAACAGAAAAGATGAGCCATAATCTAGGCAGTGCTGCAATAGCAAGGAGCAATCTTATTCATGAGTCAGTCATTGTCTTTATCCTTTGCACCTTTATGATTAGCAATGAGGATGCTGTATGTGGTGAAATGTAAAAGGGACTTGACTCTATCCCTGTTACGCAGTTTTCCTTTCAGGTCCATTTGCTCAGCATATATGAGGTTATATATATACTGTATAGGTATATAAGGTAATATAAGGTTATTGTTCTGAGTTTTGCTGTGATCCGAGAAGGGATGAAAAACATGCTTATTGTAACGGAGGAACGCTGAAGATAAAGCTTTCGTCTTGTCTCCACATCAGTCAAAGGGGATAAATAAAGTTTAATTTCCTAAACAGCCATGGGCAGATGAGGAGAGGATGAAAAATGAAATGAAACGGCTGCCCTTTTAACACAATATTTCTCAGCATAAAAAAATCTCTCTACAAAGGGGGTGATGTAAATAATTTTCCAATACTTTACCACTTCCCTTAATTTGGCACTGTTATATCAAGAATAATACGTTAACTTTATGATAGATTACTTAATGATTAACTGAATTCTATTGATCCTGCCCACTGATATAGCATCCTTTTATAAATACCAGCCATGAGAAAGACAAGCATCAAAACTCACGTCTCCAGCTGGCCTACAGAGGTAATCTCATCTTTATAAATAGTATGATGTCTTGCTATTGCTAACAGAAAGATTACTGTATTTTCTTATGAATGAAGATAGGTACAGAAAATAAAAAGTTTGTATGATGAGACAGTAGTCAAAAATACTTTGTTATTACATACAAAAAAATCACTTTGTTCTGAACAGTACGTGATGACTTATTCAAGCTAATGAAGCTAATGTGAAAGGCTGTTTCACTATAGTAATTAAGCACATCACGTGCACTTTCTAATTAAACACACCTTAACTGAAAGCACAGCTCAGAGCCTTGCAAACCTGAATCACTTTCCGCCTCTCTACCCCTTAGAAAACTTTATTCCTTCTCATAGTGATGGGGAATTGGGACACCCCAAAGTAGTATGGAAGATTAGGGTCACCTCATCACCCCCTGCATCTTTAAAGCTTCTTAGAATATCTTTCTATAGGATTACATTTTTGCACAGTAGCCTACCACCTGAAATTAGTCATAGCACTCTATATACTTCAAAAACAATTTCACAATTGCCTTTTGAGATTCTCGACACACATTCTGCTATAAGCCTCACCTAGAAACCAGATGCAAAAAAATATAGGACTCTGAGTAGTTGGTTAAGCAACATCTCACTCCTCACTCTTCTACACATACAAGTACTTTTAGGGGGACAGTCTTAGGCCCTGGCACACAGAACCATGATCATTTTTTTTCTCATCCCATGACCCACTTTTTAAAAGCAATTTGAACAGTGGCACATTTTCAATGGGGAGCATTAAGTGTGTCCTTTTCCAGCCTACCCCCAAAGGATTACGGCTCTCTTCGCAGAGTGAGAGCTGTGGTTTCAAATGCTCTCAGGCTGCAGGTGATATAAATCAGGTCCTCTAGTTCTGGGAAAATTCTCTAATCACATTGTACCAACAGCAGGACCAGCATCACTAGCTCCAGCTAAGGCAGTTTAACATGTGCTCACAATTAGCTGCTTGGGATAAGTGCATGGTACTTAAGCACTGCATCACTTTGGACATCCTCCTTCAATTCTGATCAGTGGTGTAGCCCAAACAATTTTTTGTGTTGGTGTGGCCTCACAGCTGCAAAATTATATTTCTTTTAGATTTCTTTTGCAATAGTATGAAACTGTTGGAAGAGACATTTTGCTCTTTGTACTGTCAACAGTACAGAGAAAACAGTATCAAAAAAGAGTACATTTGTGCTAAGGCAAAAATGTGTATATTTACAGATCACATATGTATATCTAAACAATAAAAGCCTTCACATTGCTGCATATATAATTTTGGTCTCTAAAGATATTCTGAAAAATATTGGGGTATTGCAGGAAACAGGACATATGATGCATCTAGAAGACGACATTTCCTCAGTACAGACTGTTACATATAGTTTGCCATTTATGATCCCAAAATATATAATTAATTCATCAAATAACAGATGAAACTTTTTATCTAAGATTCATTTTGATATTTTTACTGTATTCAAAGCACTTAAACAGTATATGAATTTGAATAAAAAATACCAGACAGCGACCCATAATGGTTCATTTTCTTTACTAATTCTTCTAGGAAGCCCAGATGATCACACTAGCCTTTTAAAAGCAACTCAGCAAGATTTTCCAGAATTTGCAAGACCTACCTCCAAAGCTGTTCTCTACCCTCTGCCCACAAAAATCTCTCTAGTTTGCTTGCCTTCCTTATTACTCACTTCTCTCCTGACCCAAATCACAAAGGACAAGGTAATAACAGAAAATGTAAAGAGAAAAATGGCTCAGAGCCCTCTAAAAAATCATGTAATCACCATGTAGCTTGAACATACTAATATTGAAAACAGGGAACAACCTTAGTTACTTTTCTTTTTTTTATTCTTAAACCAATAACTATATTTAAGATGTATCAAAATATATAAGCAACCAGAGCTCTCCAAAAACCTAACATGAGAAAAATACAAGAAACAAAAAAAGAATTGTAAATTTCCAAACAATATGTTACTAGCCATATTTGTTTAAAAAACAGCATCAACCCACAACTGTCCTATCAAGAGGATATGCCAGGAACTTGATGACTAAGGGAAACCACCAAGATAATGGGAAAAACTTGTTCAAGAATTATGAGCTTTTGGGGACAATTCAAGATTCTCATGTTGTTCATGGTGCATAAAGCAAATAAACCTCATCTAAACTTGAAAATAGTTTGATTTAAAGTGCTTTAGAATGTTTTTCTTCCAACTGGTGTAGCTTAGGGGAAAAAAAAAAAAACAAAGCCAAAAACAAACCAACAAAACACCTTCAGCTGAACAAGTTTCTGAAGACTAATTTCATTGAATGTCATTGTCAGGGCAGTAGGTGTAGGAAGGAGATTGGCTCTTAAACAACATTACCTTTCACTGTTCTTTTTGCCACTCGAGGAGCTGCTGGTGGATCCCGTGCGGTTGCGACTCCCCTTGGAGTCCCCATAGCTTTCCCGCCGGCCTCCCGGCGACACACGCTCAGCTGAGCTGGTTCTCTTAACGGTGCTAATAAAAAGAGGGGTCGAGCTTTACAGCAGCACTTGCAAAAGCACATACCGTTACGACAAACATTTTTGACAAATTAAATAGAATGCTGACTCTAAAAATAACTACATTTTGTAAAAGCTGAATTTGCCTTTTCTTTCTTTTTTATTAAACCACAGTTTGACTTGGTGAAGAGCCTACATAAGAGTTTTGCTGGGTATCTAGTACAAGAATGACTAATAAACTGCTTTTTTCCTTTGTCATAAAACAAAAGATGGGCTCTATCAGTAATGTAAGGTAGGCTGAAAAATCCACTTTTCAGGTAATAAGACATACTGTTGAGGTAGAAGATTCAAAGGACAAATATTTTGGAATACTGTTCCAAACTGGGGCTTTGTTTCTAATTGAAGTGGAAGAGTGCTACCTGGCACTGCCAACCAAACTGTGGAGAATGCCAAAAGTAGGTCAAAATTTGAGCACGCACAAGGTAACCTCATCTCTTCTTTCAACATCAGTTATGCTGTGCTTCAAAGCCGAGTTTTAACATTCCCTCAGTGAAATTAACGGAGAGCTGGCCTGAGATTTGTCATTAGCTTGTCAAACACATACGCTTCCTACTTACACGGACGAATGGACGAGATGCCCCACATTCCCTACCGGGGCGAGTCCTCAACAGCTCAGATCTTCCCTTTCCCTGGCACCCTCAGGCCCATCCTGCCAGGGTGCCCATCAGGAAGATCTTGTGTAACTTTTTGGCACCTCTTAACCATCCACCTCCCTCCGATGGGGAAAGACGAGCCAAACCAAGCAGTTTTAGCAAGCAGATGAATAGGAGCTTCCTTACCACCCCAAGCTTGTGCTGTTTTCCCTCTCTGCTTTCCCAGTAACATTCCCACAGCTCCCCACTGCCACTTTCTCAACCCAGGTCCCACAAGCACCGCTGATCACTTGGAAGATCACACCAATACCCACAGTACCCTCTCCAAATCCCAACGCAACCCCCTCCAGTCCCAAAACTTCAGTTCTTACTCAGCCTGCTCCTTCAAGGTCCAGCCTCATCCCAGCGTTGTTCCCATCTCCATCCATCTCCACCAGCCCCTCCCTACCCCCTGGTCTCCACCAGGCTCCCTGTCCCAGGCCTCTGTGAGCACTACACCAAGCCCTGGAACGCTCCTATCAACCCACCACTACAAACTCTTCCTACCAGGACCTTGGCCACCTCCTCGGAATTTGTCCTACTTTTGTCTGTAGTGTAAGAAAAGGAACGGGCCCAGACTCTTCAGGCAACACCTTCCATTCAAACGGTTACACCAAAATGAAGGCCGTTGCTTTTGCGGAGAGACTGATGCAAGAGCATCAGCAAGCTGCTAAGTTACACCCAGGGACAGAAAGAAAGAAGGTGCTAGGAGAAGGGAAGTGGCAGCAAGAAGAATTTAATTCCATCCTCACTTCAGAAATCCATGTTTCCTAAACTGGCCTAAGATTCTCCAAGTCATCTCAGAGGACAAAAAAGTTAAATAGCATACAGTATCATTTAATGTTCCCTGCCTGTCATAACATTGTCCAGTTTAATATTACTCCAGTTAAAGGATAAAACTCTAATACTGATAATGTTTATGCCACATAGAGAACTTTTATTGGCTCAAGTCCTTCCACTACATTACACATACCACTGCATAGCATCCTGTCTGCGTGATTTTGCAGGAGCTAATTGTTATTTTTGCTTGCTTTCCTTGACCAGAAAAAGATGTTGCAACATTAGTGCACAACAAAATCTTTAAAAATTAATGAAGGAGACCACCAAACCTTTCTAATGTTAGAAAAAATGTTAAGTTACTGAAGTCATTTCAATTCCATTTTTTAATGTTGCCTATGATTTTATTTTTATAGCTATCAACATTCAAAGGACAAAGTAATGGATTAGAACAAATGGGATTGAAGCCCACAAATGTAATGCTATCTTCATTTTGGAAAATGAAATCCCACTTCACAATGTCAAAACTACTTTTAGTGCACTGGAACAAGTGGAAATTTTTTAAAACTGTGGGCTTATGGCTTAAAACAATTAGTGTTCTGAGAAATGTAATTTTAAATGTTCAACAGAAAACCAAAAATACCCAGTGAGCAGTATTAGCAGGTAGTCTAGAAATCACGCTTATAGCATTGCAGGTGTATTAAATCAGTTTTGCTGTATAAGCTTTTTGGTAGGTCCAGGGTGGTAAACACCATTATTTATCTTTGCGACTAAAGTAGATACACAGCAGAAGAAGAATTTAAAGCAAGGAGACAGTAAGACACAGAAAACATACAGGCCATTTTACATTGTTCTAAGAGTATAACTGGGTTCCAGAATTTGATTTCCATATTAAGTGCATGAGGGGATGGCATTTTCAATCATTTAGCAATTTAGCAATATTTAGCAATGATATTTTTAGTTCATTTAAGCAAGCAATGTGGCCTAATGAACTATCCCCATAATACAAATGATGTTAGCATGAGAAAATTGTGATACCATAACTGGAATCATTATTGTGCAAATTTTGTAAGACATTAGAGTATATCAGTGATGATGACAGGCTTTTAAAATGCGCTTCTGGAAATATTAAAGTCTGTAATAATTTTGACCATTAGGATCTACAGTGTTAATACTACTACTAAAACAGTCTCTTGCTATGTGTTGAACCAAAACAGAGAGGAAAACAAGTGAGCTTCAATGCCACAAAGCTATTACGGATCCCTCACCTTAGAGCAGGCTTTTTCAGTTTGCATGCATTGAGAAGATTCACAGACCTGCTTATCCAGGTTGAGAGGTGCATAAACAAAGCAGAATAAAAAGTGAATGCAACAACAAAATGTGGAAACAAGACATTAAAAACAAACTTACATTAAAAGACGTATAATTGCATGCATTCAAGATATGAAGTAACGTGCAAGAGTAAACACCGTAGTGTTTATTGGCAGTCAGATGTTTGATCATTTCAAACCATACATTTAAGATCATCAATGTATTTTTGAATGACAAAAATCTTAGCAATGCTCTGTATATGCTGACCATTTCTACAGCTACTTGGCAAAAAAAGAAAACCAAGGGGCTATCTGAGGAAACAAGACAGATGATCCAGCTAGAAGACAAAAGACTATTAACAAAGCAACAGTAAGCACAAGAAAAGAAATCCTCATATATACATACATACACCACTGCATAGCATGAATGTTTCAGATGGTTGCATTACTGAACTGTGGTAAGCAAATCTGCCCCAAAATTAGAGAGAGGAAAAAAAAAAAAGGAAAGAAAAAAGAAAAACTTAAATATCAAAATGGGGCGGGGGGGGTGGAGCGGAATCTTGGTGGAGGAAAAAGAAAAGCTCCTTAATAAAATGAATTAAAAAATAGAGCTTATTGCTCTTAGCAGTAACTGACTATATTAATAATATTTTGAAACTTGTCTAGCACTCTTTCTGACCCTCATTTAATTCAATTAGAATAAATTCAGGAATACTATATAACTTTAATTTCATTATGCCTTAGAGCAAAGCGAAGTAATAACTTTAATTGTTGGCGATATAGTAAAGCGGAATAATGGTGTTGCCACTCAAAGTTCAATGGAGAGAGATTTTTTAATTTATATCCCTTTTCTTCTGAAACGCTATTCTTGCGAGTCAAGTGTTAAACAGAAGACTTAATTGAAGGTTTGATGCAGAGTTTGTGTGTGTGCCAGTTACAAATCACTGCTGCCCCCAGAACAGAATGTGGAACATTAATTCCAGGAGACTGAACAAGCTCCTAGGGGCCATGTGTTTAGAGTTTAATATGATAAATTCCTGTCCTTCTCAAGTATTTTATTCTCCCCACAAAGCTTTCTATAATGTTCTCTTTGTTCCAGCTTCCTCCTTTTGATCTCCATTCTCAGAGTTTTGCACCATTGTAATTTCACAATCTGCTCCAGAAGAAAGAAGGACTCATTGTCTTCTTTTGAATGACAAAGTACGGGCCGGTCTATAGGCTGCCTCAGCATCCCTACTGGGAAAGGTACTGGCTGCATTCGCCTTCTTACATTTTTTCTTTTTTCCCTCAACTGCTGGAAACAAAGCTATCCTCGATCAACCAAAAAAAAAAAATCTAGATTTTAATTGGGAACACAAAACATTTCTACTGTGCACTGGACAAATTCCAAACACAAACCTAATGTTAAGCAGCAAACTTCAAGCCACATTACATGTGAAAGGAGGAGTGCAGGGGGAAGGGAAACTTCTGTTCATGATACACAAAGCTCATCCTATTCTGAATGAGGGTTTTGAATTCTATGCACAAAGTTTGGAATGATAATACAGCAGAATTCAAAAAGATGGTACCCAAATACTCAGCCTAACTCCTGACTCCTACTGCTTAAAAATACTAAATATATCAAATTCAAAATCAAATTTTAACCAAGATCTTTAAAAAAAATGTTGGTGCTGAATCATAATTTCTGATCCCAGTAACAACAGAATCACCAGGCTTTCTATCTTGCATTGCATTATTATTGTACACATTTATAATCTAAGTGACCTACGTTTTTCGTTTGTTCTTTCAGTCTATGTGGGTGCACTTCAGCCCCTCCTTACCTTGGGCGCTGACTATACAGACTGAATACTGAAGGGGGTTATGCCCTCAATTCTAATTAAAGCCAGAGTCAGCTGAGGTTGCTCAGCACTTTGCAAGATCTGGTTCTAATTAATACATTAGCCTGTCTAACAGCCTAGTGCTACCCCATGATGCAGGCTTTGCAGATGGAAAACCAATATGCATGGAGGTTAAGGGATTTGCATAAGGTCACGGAGAGTATGTGGCAGAACTTGAATAAAAACCTGCTAGTTCCACTATTTCAGCCTCAAGCCTTTTTTTACCACCTCCAATTTTATATTCCTGCCAGAAGCCATTTGCATTTCAAATATTAAATGGGAAATCAGAAAATGTAGTGAACTCTGAACCGCATCTTCTTGGTAATCCAGCAACGGGAGCAAGGAGGACACCAGCCTGCAGGTTCAAAGGAGTTAACCAACACATTGAAATACAGCTATTGTATGAAATGAGATTGTATTTGGAGACATAGGAATCAGTACGTATATTTCTATGCAGTGGAATGTATAGATGCTCAGTTGATTCCTGTGTAGATATTTGCGTATATTTATATAAATACATGCAGCAAACAGTTTGAATGAACAGATTTATGCCAGTTCAATCGACTGTCAAACACTTCCTAACCAGAATGGTGGGTGTCAGAGAATGAAGAAATCAGAAGTTATTTCTTTGTACTATTTACTTGTAAGTGCTAAGTGTTTGTCAAAATCTATTGTGTTAAGTGTTTGTAAATATTTAAGTTGTCATTAAGTTTTAAAACATCTATGAACATTTAATAAAATTTAGAGATGTTATGCCACATTAATATGTTTTGGACTACTAGAACACTTACATTACAATGTAGCAAATGTTTTGGCATCAGTCTATAGGAAAAGCACTGTAAAGACATGATTGTTTTAGCAGGTACCGGAACTAAAAATAAATCAGAACCAAAGCACAGTTGCTTAAAACTACTCACTATCTATAAACAGGTCAACACTAAGTGAAGTTTCTTAGCATAAATAGAGAAGTTCTATCACTTAAATGACACTATTTCATCTTGCTAGTGCGTTTCCATTTATGTTATATGCATACATACTTACAGCTCTTGAATGTAAAAAGATCCAATATAAATACAGAAGTATGAATGGATATAATGATTTCATATTCATGAATATTCACCATAATGATTTCATATACTTGGCTATTTGCAAGTAAGCAAGCTATTTGGAACACTTAATGAATCAGCTCTGAATACTGAACTGTTTGAATACTGTTCATTTGGAATATGATTCACAAGAAATAGAAGAAATCCCATCGGTTATTTTAAGAAATAACTCATTATCAAAAGCTACTAAAAATGGAGAATAATTTATAATGGAAAAACAGATTCTCCCAGCGCCTCATTGGTGAAGTCATTAACAACCCACTTTATTCCCCTCAAAGTCTATTTATATGTAAGGCACAGAAATATACTTTAATAGAACTTAATAAAAAAAATGAAGATTGCATATCAACTCCAAACAAAACAGTATTTTAGTCTTTGAAGGGAATAATATTTGCTCGTATTTTCACTGTGCATTTAAAGAATACCTTAAGAAAACATTTGCCAGGACTCCCTGAACCTCAGGGAGCAAGGGAGCTAACAGGATCAAGCCCTTTGTACATAGGTGAAAGGTGCCAACTCTTGTGCCTTCTCTTTATTATTGTCAATACCATGTGAAATGATGTTTTATTGATATTAAAGAAATGATTTGTAAGGAATTATTTTGCATAAAATTCCGCATATACAAAATAATCCCTTTTAAACACTAATAATTTTTCTTTCTAAGTAAGTGACTGGTTTTCTCAAATACCTTCAAAATTCTGATAACATTATAAGCCCTTACACAGTATTTACCTTCCTTCTCTTATCTTAAGGACTGGCTAGGCCAAGCCTGTCAAACTTGCAGCTGCAGCAGCCCCAGCTCACAGGAGCTCAGTTTCATTTGTGCAAAGTTGAAACAACTAGAGTGTTTTACAGTATAAATTCTGCATAGTTTTAACTTCTTTAAATCCATCCCTTTCAAAACAGTAAAAAATAGTGGTGAATCCTGTTACCATCTTCTGTTTAAGGAGAAATCAGAACAGAACCATCTTCTGTTCAAGGAGAAATCCTGTTCATAAAAAAAGTGTCTTCGCAGATTAATACTCTCATCTCCACAACTTGCCTTTCTCAGAATTGACAGCATCCTCACTGCAAAAAGCTGAGGATGCCAAAAACAAGGGAAATATAAAAGAAATCACACACAGTATTTTATTATCTTACGCGCATATAGTAAAGCAGAATAGCACCACAACTGTCACCTGTAACTGTAACTTGCTTCACCCAAGCCATTATGTTCTTTATAACGTAGATGTGTAAATAAAACATACATATATGTAGCTTAAATATACATATGCTTAAATATATATATGTTCACACACAAGAACTGAGATTGTTCAGTACTTTTTAAAGGACTTAAGCGTACTTTAACTGTAGGTATCTAAAAAGGGATGTTTTCGCTTGCATAAATATGCACCAAACTCAGAATTTTCCTTCTTGAGAATGTTTTTCATTAGCTGTTAAAATAGACTTTGCACTACTTTTCATATCATTTTGCGCAGAGTAGAAATGTTTTATTCTCTATATGCTAGCCTGTATTAACAAGAAAGTAACATAGAAACCAGTAGACAAAGCACTGTGTAGTTTTTTCACTATTTACTGAAATAAATTTAAATTTTAATGAATTAAACTAAGAAAGTTTAAAACGACTCAGAATTACTTTCATGTCTCCTTTTCTTTCTGAACTAAATATTGAGATCATTATTTTGAAAGTCAGAAAAATTGCACAGCTAAAAGTGTTTTAAAAGAGATACACTATTTTCTCAATTTACAATAATAACATTTCTAATATATGTGCACCTTTTTGCTGCTGGTGATACAGTTTCCTTCCTGGTTCCTGATGGGGAAGGTAAAGAGCCACTTGGTTTCTTTGGTAACACAGTTCCGTTATTAACAGTAGTCCTTAAAGGCAGTGTTTGTACCAGTGGTCTTGCTGTAAAAACAAGCAGATGATGAAGTTATGATTTTTATTTTTTCCTCTTTTTTAAGGAAACAACATTACAACATTTAAAAACACATGTGCGGTAAGCCCCTTGCAATTCACCATGGCCAAATTCCACTAAGGGTGGAATTCCTCAAATAATTTTCGTCTATAATCTTATCGATTAGGTCATATGCGTATTGCGTAGGCACCCAATTCTATAACCTGTTCTCACCTGCAAAGGTCCATTCTAGCTCAGTGAGCTTCCTGGTAAAAGCAAAGACAGCTCCTGCCACCAAAACAAATCCTGCTCTCCTGAAAGAGTTTCTGTGTATTCAGAAAAAAAATGCTAGAAATGAAGGCAGGTCGCCATCCAAGATCCTCTTTACCTCTCAATGCTCTGGCACATTTTACAAAAGCAAATAACCTATTAAAATATCCTTATTCCCCATCTGCACCAAAAATCGCCTCCTCTGAGAGAGGAATGTGGGTGTATGCTTGGCAAATAGGAATTCTATCTTTTAGTCAGAAAAAGCCATTGAAATCCATGGAAAAGCAGGGGCACAATCAGCTGACTGTATCTGCCTGTGTTCTCCTCACCTGGTATTGGCTCCAACACTCATCACCCATATCACACACGTAAGGAGCACTAGAACAACTGAAAAGTTGCATTCAAGTACATTAGCAATTGGCTGCACAAAACAAACAGTGGTTAAAACAGCAAGCAGTGGCTACAGACAGGGAAGCTATAATGAAACATACCCGGACAACATAGCTGGGAACATGGCTAGTGCTCTCTGGAACAGAGAAGAAAACCCAAGCTTTCAATGCCACCTGAAACTGGACTGCATCTGCCTTGGTAAAGATGCCAGGAGTCTCTTGGTTCAGAGAAACAAAGCTCAAGAGCAGGCAAAGACATATGTTACTTAAGGCCAGTGACTTCACTGAAACTCAAGAGGATGTCAGAAATAAGACCTATGAAACACTCTGAAAACAGGTGGATGAGGATAATCAATCTAAAAAGCTAACAACTGCATATGGTCCAAGGTTATACTAAGATTACTTCTCATTGTAGCATAGATTGTAAGCATTTATTGACTTGTTGACCTCAAGTTTTCACATCCTGATCAAAATAAAGACAAAACATAACAGCTTCCTAACACAGGAAGCTCTATCTGAATATGAGGAAAAACTTCTAACACTGTGAGGCTGATGACAGAGCAGTGCAGGAGGTTGCCCAGAGAGCTCGTGGAGTCTCCTCTGGAGATCTTCAAAACCCACCTGGACGTGATCCTGTGCAACCTGCTCTAGTTGGCCCTGCTTGAGCTAGGCAGGGGACTTGGGCTAGAAGATGTCCAGAAATCCATTCCAGCTTCATCTGTTGTGTGATTCTGTGAAACGTGAAAGCCTGTGCCACACTTGAGATCATCTCAGTAAATAACATACACTTTGAGAATTAGACCATGGGTTAGGCTTTGACACTCTTGCCAGTGACCGAAAGAGCGGAAGTTCTCTAATTTTATAGAAAGCTTTAGGATAGGCTAAACAAGACTTCTATGAACTCCTGAGGTGCCTTCTCGCCCCAGTTTCCATGATCTGTTGGAACAGACTAGCACCGTCTTTACAGCTTATGCATGAAGCCAAAACACCTAAAATTTACTTACTAAAACTTTTTGTTTAAAGAGATTCAGATATCATGGCCATATTAACTCCTTAAGCATTCATTCTTTCAAGTCAAATTCTTTCTGTAGTTCCTGCTGGATGCCATAATGGATGCAGTGCCATAATTAAGCCATATATATGAACAGCCATTCTGTTGCATAACACAGACAGCTACAGTTGAGCAGCTGGTAGACTGTCTCCTTGATGTGATTTCTGCATCACAAAAAACTTTCATGGGGCTCTGAGATTATGAAACAAAATTATCATTAATAACAATAAAATAAAGTTAATAAGCAATTAGAATATTCTTCCTTCTCTCTAGTCATATAAAAAATAAACCTGTGCTAAACTGTAGCCGGAGGAAACTAGCTAGAATTTGTTTACTTTCCTCCTGTTACCAAAGCAGAAGTAGCAACAGCGAGTAATAAACCTGTAAGTTGTAACGGCCATCAGAGGGTCCATTTCAGATCCAATGTCAGAGCAGGGCTCCTGCTTCTGGAACCCAAAATTTTAGCATCTAACCTCACAACCAAGCTGGTGCAGGAAGCAACAACGTGAAACTATTCCACATTACACAGAAAAATAAATATATATAAAAATTATTTGACGAATCCACTATTTGCTCAGGAGTTATTTATTTACAAGAGCTACTTTCTGTCGGTGGCAACCAACGTGACACTCAGACAACTCCAAACATGATGTTGTTAGAAGCGGTGGATGTCAGTAACTCAAATGCATTCACATTATTGCTTGGTCAGTAACATTTATTCTGCAAGGGTTTTTTTGCTTCAAGGTCTTACCTGTGGTAGCAGTACTGACATGTTTACCAGTCTCAGCAGCAGCTTTTTTAATCACACTCTGATCTATGAATTAATAGGGCTGTTAAGTTTACAAACAAACCAATAAATTGCAACAGGAAAGAACGACAAACAGAGGTAAAACAAGGCAGGAAGCTGCCCTCAACTGCACAAAGTAGTGGAATTAAGGATAAAAGCACCACTGGTGAAAGAGCTCACAGAGCAGCAGCTCCCCTTCTCCCAAGCTGCTTAGCTGAGGTTGAGAGCAAGAACAGGGGATGAACCTGAAAAACGTCTCAAAAGCCTATTTTCACCAGGTGTTTGCAAACCTTCAACTTGACAAGTTTTAGACATTTAGTGCTCAGAAAATGGAGTCTTTTGTCCCATCCAGTTGCTTGTTCCGGACTCTAAGCCTCCTGCCCCCTGACACAGGAGGACGTTTGTGGTCCTGCAGGAAACGGTGCACGCTGTGCTTGAAGACCTGAGCTCCTCTGCAGACGTGTTTGCATTCTTGTGAGAAACACGGAATTGGCCCTAAACGCCCCGGGGACAGAAAGCAGCTCGAGCTGCTGGGTATCAGACTGCCCAGCACCAGAGAGGCCGGCACCGAGCGGAGCCTCCGGCGGCGGCAGGAGCAGCCCAGGCCTGGCTAAGTGCTAGGGTTAAAGCACCTGTGCCTACAAGAAGAAAGATGGGCCTTCACCTGCAACGTGTGCTCTTTGACAAATCCACTTAAAGAAATAAAGGGTCCAGATACTTCAAATTCAGTTTTGTATGCTACAGGACAGCTTTAATAAAGCAAACGAGGGTGACCCTACACTATAGAACAACTGAAATAACTAAATTATTTGGATTAATATTTGAAGTAGCAGCTTTTTCTGTAAATGAGTTGTGTGTAGGCAGCATTTATCAGGACTCATCATTTATCAGCAATTTGTAGGGGATGAACAGTGGACATTATTTGCAGTCCTCCATTTGCATTAGAAACTGTAAAATTTCATCCACTCTAATTTCACACACATGCAAAAGCAAACACCCATGCCCTCCCCCTTGAGCAGAAGGCAGAAGCACAGGCTTATAATAATAGCTTGTTTTTTTATGTGCTTTTTCTATCATTTTTAAAAGTACTACTATTGAACTACAGCCTTAAAGATCTGTCACAATGAAGAAAGCATTTCCTGAGTTAGGATCGAGCTCTTCAAAGTCCATGAAAATTTGTCTCGGTATTTGGCAGACAAGAACAACAATTTGTTTACAATTTGATAATAATTATTTGGCTTTATTTCCTCCATGCATTAGATGATATTTATTTTACAGGCAGCATAAGGCCTTTTAGATCCTTGCACAATCACTTTTGGTGTGGCATATTATCACAGTGAAGACTATCTTCAGCATTACTTAACTGATATAAATCTGGTATTTTAAATATCTTTTGAAATCAAACAGGCAAGGACAAGATGAGAATATAAGAATAAAAAAAAAAACTCTATCTTCTGTCCAACAGCTAACATGATATCAAATCAACCAATCTGGATAAATCTGTCCTTTTTCTACTCTTCTCATTCCCAGACACAAAATATTAAAACAGAGTCACAATTCAGCAAGTTAATAAGTATTTGCTTACCCAATCTATTAAAGCGATGCCTAAAAATACATGTGGCACAAAGCCACAAACCTATAACCCACCTGGAAAGAAGTCTTAATTTCAGCTTTGAGAAAATTATGTATCCATAATTACATAATTATACATCATCTTTCCAAAATAAATTTTAAAAAAATCTTAATTAGTATCAATCAGGTCACCAAAAGAAACTTTGTAATTTAGACACTGAGGAGCCTATGAGCTCAAGCATGCTTTCTTTCCACACCTAGCTTGCCATAACTGCTGCTCCTGAGACTAAAGAAAATTATTTCATGCCCTTCTGTTGGGCGCAAGCAGATAGCTTACCATGCTTTTAAGCACTATGTACTACATGGAACCACATCCGCTGGTTTTCAATAAACCTTCACTACTGTGAATTGCTGGACATCCAACTCGAAGTTTCCTGATTTTCATACAAACAAGCACATTCCTGTAGAACAGGAACGAAGAGCGTGCGCTCTGCGGCACACGTACACAACGACACACACAGTGGAGTGGCAACACGTGCCACATCTGCCACGAGCTGGCCCGGGCTCTGCTGGGTAGAGCTAAGCCAGGCACACAGCCAGCTCGGTTCCTTGCTTGGGTGCCGAGGGGCTGGTGTCGCACCAGCCACCTTAGAGCTCTCTGCCGGATAAGCCGCTTGGGCCATTTTAACTAAACTGTATTTAAACTCCTTTGTTTTTTTCCAATCCAAAAGCAGGTTTTCATCCACAGAAGCTGTCAAGTTCCTCAGAAATCAATTTTGGTAAGTGTATACTCTATGTGACCAAGCCATGGTTAAAAGCAGAAAAGGACTTAAGTGCTAGCATATGTAAACGCTTCACTGGGTCCTGGTTAATTGCAAACTTGGGAGGGTTCACAAGTTACACCACTTGGATGTTCATATGTTCTCTTCAACACCTAAAATTTAAATTTTTATTTTTGAGTTTTATTTGATGTTTCTGACCATTTCAGAAATAAAAACAATGAACTACTTTAATATATAAAATGTTCAATGCAATACCTAATTTTACATATATCTGAAATGCAAACCTTTGGTAGGTCCTTTCTTATTTTGCATGGCCTGTTGTTCCTCCGTTATGTTCAAGCGTCGAACCACATCAGCAAGGGCAGATTTCAGCAGCTGGATGTCGTCCTCCTGCATCTGCACACGCTGCTCCAGAGAAGCAATGCGATCCGTCACCTCCATACTGCTTGCAGCAGAGGCACTGTCATCTACGTAAAACAGCAGGGAAAATACATTATCTCCAATGTAAGGTATTTATCCATAAAGGACTGAAGGTAAAAACTCTTTTTTGTCCATACCCGATGACCTCAAAAAGAAGAAAGTTTAAGCGATCAAAGAGAGAAGAGATTGGAGAAAGAAATAAAGGAAAAAAAGTAAAATGTGAAAATGAGGAAGTTGGCTTCAGGACTTCCTATTAATCAAACCCACTATCAATTATATCAACTGGAGTGATCGAATCACCACAATTCAATTATCCCCTCTTTCTCTGTATCTGCATGATTGCCCATGCCAGAATAGACAGAGCTGTGCTTCCTGATATGCTCCATACCCTTCTAGACCTTCTTTCTCATTTATGTGTCGGAATGAAATTATTAGATACATCAGCAACAGATAGGTATAATTTTTTTTCAAGCACTACCCAAAAAACGGAGCAAAAGACCTTAACACAGTCTGCAAGCCCTAGAGTGTCTGCGTAGCTTTCTATGAGAACACTCCCCCTGACTGAAATAAAAAAAAAATAAATCTACTCAGAATTACAAATCAGAATTACTTGAAAATTGCACCCTTACCCTGCAAAGCCTCAGAGGGATGTTACGTTGTACACAGTTCACTGACTATTTGGAAACAACCCACAGAGGTTTAAAGACGGCAACTCACTGCTGAGAACTATGCATTCTTGCCGCCCAAAACTGGTAATCAGAATATTGTTCCTAAGCGGGTACTTTTGTTCCACTCCATTTTCTACCAAATAGAACCATCATGGTTTATTACAATACTATGTTAGAGGAAAAATAAAAAAGATAAAGGAGGACAAAAACGACCCCAATTGTAAGGTTTTATTTAATTAGCTAGTTTGAAAAAATGTTGAGTATTAACCTACTGGATCATATTAAGACAGCCTAGTGATGTCTGGATTTTAGCCTGGATTATAGCTTTCCTTTGAAGAATTAATAAATTGCACTTTATAAAAAAGGATACTTCAGCTAGTAACAATGATCGTTTACTTCCCTCTCATTCCTGGGATTTGTTTGCATTTCTTGTGTACCTAATCCCCTTCCATCGCACACCAGTGCCCTGCACTTCATATGTATGAGGACATAAAACAAAACGTAAATGGATTGTGCATAATAACCAGTGTTGGAGTTTCAAACTAAGCAAGTGCTTCAACAAGAAAATAACAGTTTTGGCATCTGAATGCATTTCAAATCATGCCAAAAAATGCTTACGCTATGCAAATTTTCAATTAGAAAGGTCAGGGGGCAAATCTGCTTAAAAAAAAACCAAAAACAAAACAAAGAAAAACTCTTCATTTGTCTCCAACCCACCCAAACACAAGTTGTTCCCCAAATCTGTTCCTGAGCTGCTTTTGGCTTCCTGGCCCCTCGCACCCAGCAGCAAACTGCTGTTACCAAGCGCTGAACTCGGCCGCTCACGGCAATGCTGACAGCCCAGACCCCACTACAGGCGGACACAGCTGAAGCAACCGGTTAATTCTGCTGCGGGGCTTTCCAGAGCATACTTTTAGACATCCACATGAGGGTATTGAAGGTTTTGTGCTGAACATAGTGGTAATATAAGTACGCAGGTCTGACAAACTAAACGAGAACTCGAGTTCCCGAAAAACGCTGAATAAGTTTCCCGATGACACAATCTCAGGGTTTTGCAAACTTTGGCACAATCACATTTCTGTTCGGCACCAGAAATCTGTCCTGCAGCTGTTACAGGTAATTAATCCCCCAAATAAGGTTAGCAGACACGTTGGCAGCAGTATGAGCTGCCTGTCGAACTTAACCTCTCCTCGGGCGAACAAAAGGCCCACGCTGCCCTAATGACTTTACACTTTAACTCGGCTGGAAATAACACGGATTAGCACCCCGGACAACAGGCAACCAAATCGAAAGCTCGGTTTGACCAACACGAGGCAAATTCTAACGTGCACCGTTGTGCCAAATTCAATATGGCAACGGCACCGCTCCTTTTGGAAACGGCAACAAAAACTATCCATCTCCCAAGACAGACAGAATGAAACCTAAGGGAAAAAAATAAATCAGCTGGTGTTAAAATGGTCAAGCCCCTGTTTTAAAAGAAAACATCATCACTAAAAAGTGTCAATTTCACCAAACTTTAAGGGTAAAAACACTTGATTTTTTCTCAAATACAAATCTTCAAGTAGTAGGTCAGTGGCACCGGTTTATTTAGAGTCTCTCACAAAACTGCTCCTAATAATTAGCAGGATGTGGAGGTCTCTTTTCCCCCCGCTTCGCCAGCTGTCACCGTGACTCTTCCCCTCCTGTCCCTGCTGACGCAGCAGCAAACGGGGCGCTGGGCTTGCGGCACCGTCCTCATCCCTTTTATTTGCCACAACCTTGCTGGGTCCGGTTGCCTCCCAAGCGTGCAGAGGAGAACATGTTTCCGCCAGCTTCTCATCACCAGCTTTCAATGAGATTCAGCAAGTGGAAGATGAAAAGTTCTCACAGATTAGATCAGAATATGCTAAGCAATAAAGTCACCGCTTAAACACATACAAATCATCAACGCGGAATGTTAACAAAGAAAGAGAAAAATATAATAATTATATAAACTAGCAAAAAACTTCTATAGACAAACAAAAGAAATAGTCATAACAGACTTTATCTAGTCTGCCCACAAGAGGAAAAGTTGGACTGTTAGTCTAAACTGTGATTTGTTTCTGCAGGATAACGGTCTTTTTCACAGCAAAGAAGAAAATTCGTAAAGAAGACTTTAATAAACATTTGTGAGGTGATTTAGACCCATCATCTTCTTATTATTGCCAAGCCAATATTGAAAGTGTCTACACATTCTGCAGCACCCAGTTGTGTATTTTCTCAGACATCAAACACGTCCCGCAGGCGCTCGCCGCCGCCGGCAGGGACGGAGCGAGGCGGCTGGCAGGATCCAGAGGCAGAGAAGGGCCCCGCACGCCTGAGCCTGGCCTAGATTTTGGCTCGTATCATCCTCAGACTTAGGCTCATGGCAGCTGCGTTACAAACACATCCTGATTTTACAGTACAAGTTATAGTAACTCAAGGAAAGCTCTTATATTAGCAATGCAAAGACTTCAGATGGCTTCATGCAAATCCAAGGACATACGAAGTGCATTTGAAAATGAAAGGGGGGTTAGAGGTGCACAGTAATAACACACAAACTTTCCTGCACAGTTTTACGGTATAATAAAAGGATCACTGTGTCAATACTTGTTACTTTTTGTGTCCCTAGAGTCAATAACTTTAACAATTTTTAACAGTGTCAATATATTTAAACTGGAGACAGGCATCTTTACAGTCTAGCTGCCGCACTAAATGCTCGCTGTAGCTGAAGTACATAAAGGAAACTATAGATCCTAACAATTTGCTCTCAGCATTATCTGTTGTGCAATAAATCTACTCGCAGCCACTGCCCCCAGCTCTGCCCATGGCCGGAGAGCGCAGACCCTGCGCCGCCCACACCGAGAGCAGCTGTGCTGGAATTGGCCACTGCCTCCTCTTCAATCAGTTGAAAGTTTCAAATCAGTTTCATTTTAAAATGAAATTTATGCAACTCATTTTTAGAAATCTGAAATGAATCACATGCTGCAAGTGCTCCTCTTCATGCAGTACCACGAAACTCTAAATCACTATCTCCAGCATGAACATCTACAGCCAGCGAGACAAATCCCCCTGCAATGTCCCAGGTCGGGTAGAGGGAGAAGGTTCCCCTCGAGCTGCCTGCGCTTTGAGCAGAACACGCAGCGGTGGCAGGGCTGGGAAAGGGCCGTCATTCCTCATGTAAAGCATCACTGCAATTCTGCAGGTTTCGAAGAGAACACGGCATAGAAAAAGGGAATGTTCCTCATGCCTCCCTCTCAATTTTCCAACCAGCTAATCCATGATCTCATAGATTGGAAAGATTTCCTGTGGCAAACTAGAAGACAATACTGAGTCAGATGATTAATCTGCTTCCAGAGAGTCCTCCAGTTTTTCAGCATCTTATTATGTGAACTTAGCCAAATGTGAAGAAACATCTGAAAGAGAGCCAAGAAGAGGATGTGCATGCTGTTTACCAGTAAGTATGATTTAAATATTAATTTTATTGAGCGTAGGATAAAGGAAAAACAGCAAACAGTATTAGTTAGAGGACACATTAAGATACATTTGACTTTCTGGGTGATTTACCTGCTGGAAAACCTAAATTGAAAGTGTAAATTCATGCCTTAGGAAATAAAGGAGCTCTCAGAATAAAACTAAAAGAAAAAATATCTGCACTGGTTTTTGTTTTGCCAAACGCCTGTAAATTTTCAAGATGAGTAAGCAGTACAAATATTGCTCACTTACTTCACACATTTTGCTTTTGAAATAAAAATTAAGAGCTAAAAAAGTGAATACTTGGTGTTTCCCTCCCACCCCCAATTACTTCTTTAAACAAGCTCTGGTGCTTATTTAACACATTCCACCTTTGCCCTGTGCAGACACTCATTCTGAGACTATCTTGTCCAGCTCAGACTGTGACAGCTGATTAAGTAGTGGAAACACTATGTGCTGATTCTGGAAAGCCTGGCAAGCAAATCTGAGTTTACTCAATCTGCGTTGCCTCTTTGGAGTAACAATTAATAGGATTAAGCTGTGTGGGAAATACTCCCACCACTTTTCGGGATACATTCTGTGCACACTAAATTTGTACCATACGTAGCACAGTGGGGACACGGTCGCTAGATGCTATTGCAATGGTGATTTAAAGCACCATCTTGCAGTCCCAGAGCTGTCATCGAATTTAGGCAGTCTCCAGGATATCAGGACAGAAACCGAAGCCTTCTGGGGGATGGCAAATTCCAGCAGCGTCTTTGGCTGAAGATCGTCCAATTGCTGGGAAACATGGCAAAGGATGGCAGCAGAAGTGCCGCATCGCCCGCAGAGATGCCCTTTTTGCACCTCGGTGTCATAGGCTGTGCCAAAAGGCCTCAACTGGAAGTAATATTTTCCATTGCAGAGAG